CCGAGGGTCCCGGGCGGGCAGCCCCGAGAGCTCGGCCGCCTGGGGCCGGCCGCGCTTTCCCCGCCCGCCCGCATCTTCCAGGAGAGAAGGGTGCCGGGGCCCGCGCGAAGCCCTCCGTGCGAGGTGCCCCGCGCCCTGCTCGGGCTCCGCCTGCCCGCACCCGAGAGCTGGGCAGAAGTCCTGCGCTGGGGTTGGGGACGGGCGACTGAGAAGTGGCGTGGCTAAGGCACCGCGCGGGTGGTTGCTAGACGGCGGCGTGCGGGGCTGGGCCGCCCGGGCTGGCGTTCGCGCTGCGCTGGCGACCCGTGCACCCCAGGCCCTTTGCGAGGCTCGGGGAGTTTGCTTGTTTTGCACGTGTGAGGACGCGGGTTCTAGAGGACCAGGGGAGGCCGGCGTTAGTAAGAGCACAGAGCACGTGCTCAGTGCGCAGTAGCGCAGGAGGTGACACCATCAGCTGGTGGCAGGGGGCTGGTGACTTTGCAGATCTGGGTGTTGCGCTACCCTGCCCGGCCTCCTAGGCCCGAGTTCGAAACACTATTCTCAAGATGATCGGTGCCTAACTAAAGAGCTAGTGGGTGTAGTTTGGGGTAGGAAGAGGGAGTCCTGCTGTTTGTTGCTCTTTCTGATTTTCATACTCGTTCTCCTTACATGTATGGGTGAACTTAGGAAAGGGAATTTCAGGGTCAGGATTCCGACCAAAGCCAGGCTCAACTCGATGGACCCGTGTGTTACCAAAGGGACTGCCGACAGGGGTGTGGTGTCATCCAGGAACCTGCCACGGCAGGAAGCCAGCCTCGACCTGGGGCTGGTGACCAGGGAAGGCTTCTCTTAGAGCCTCTAGTGAAAGCCAGGGGCAGGAAGCCAACTGTGGGAGCCCGGTGCCAGGCTAGCGCTGGAAACAATGCCAAGATCACACTGTCTCTCTCAAACATTTTTTATAGGGTATGTTTCTTGGTCCCTCTACCATGACCTGGCACCGATGATTTTTTACTTCCCCCTGCAAACACTGGAGCTCACTGGGCTGGAAATTTTCGGTATAGCCTTTCTCTCCCCAGCACTCCTAACGATTACTCCTTTCTGGAAGCTGGTTAACAAGAAATGGATGCTGACCTTGCTGCGGACCGTCACTGTCGGTCAGTGTTTCTTTAAGAATTTACTGTTTAATTAAGGAACAAGATAAGTAATGTAGAAGGTTCACTGCGTACTGAATGACTGAATAAAAATTGAATGATAGACTGATAATCAGCAACTGACTAGAAAGGGGATGATCGGTTTCAGGAATAGCAGTTGTTCTTTAAAGCATAAAACGTACAGAATATAGATTATGCACATATGTATTCATAAATGTCTCACAGATGGTTGGCAGAGAGCAAAGAATGACAATATTGTCTTGCAAGGGTGGGAAATAGACACCATGCATTGCTGGTGGGTGTGTAAATTGGTTCAACCTCTGCAGAGAGTAACTTAGCAGTATTTATCCAAATTACAAATCTGTGTGCAGCCTTTCATCTAGCAATTTCCCTTCTAGGACTATATTGTAGAGACATATATAGGTAAAAACGATAAGCATACAAGATTATTTAGTCATCTCAGCAATATTTATAACAGCAAGATTAGAAATAATCTAACTGTCATCTCTAAGGGGTAGGTTAAATAAATTATGGTTATGAAGCCATATGGAATACTATGCAGCTACAGAAAGAGAAGATATTATTTATGTAATGAAATGGAATGTCCTTCAAAATATGTTTGGCGAAAAAGGTCGTCTCAAATAGTGCGTATAAATGACAACCTTTACATGAAAATTTGGATGAAGGTATACTTAGCATCGAGTTGTATGTGCATTAAATACCTCTAAAAGGATTTTGAAAGTTGGTAGCATTGTAACGGCTACAGAGTGGAGAATGTGGTACCTGAACACAGGTCTGGAGGGGTAACTTTGCACTGTATATTTTTTATACCTTTGAATTCTCGATTTGAATATATTATATTGTCAAAAATAACAAATTTTAAATGTACACTTGCTACCACAAAGATTTTTCGTATTAATAAAAATTGAAAAGCTTCGGAGAAGTACTGTTAATAATAAAGTAAGAAGGTAAGATTATGGAGAATAGATTTTAAAAGGAAAAATACCGTGGGGCTGGGGATTTAGCTCAGCGGCAAAAGCGCCTGCATGGCAAGCGCAAGGTCGTGAGTTCGGTTCCTGGTACCAGAGAAAAACCAAAAAAAAAAGGAAAAATACCAACTCCAGATGAAGCAGACCCATAGCTCAAAATTCTGAACTTCTGTGTTTCTGCAGTAACTCAGTAGATTTCTCTGAGACTCCCGTGTGGCATTTGTTCGTGAAGGGTGCCGTGTAGCTCTTCTGTCTGGGAGCAGTCGTTTGTCTTCAGAAGCAGGGCCAGGAATCCCTAGAAGCTGCCATCTGCTTTTCTGTCAGTCCCAGAGAAGGCTGGGGACGTGCACTGAGTCTCGTGGTTCCCCGTAAAGGTGTAGAGCTCTTGTTTTTAAAATGGCGCAGGCTCAGAAAGAACAGGGGCAAGGCTCCTGGACTGCACCCTTCATGAAGAGGGCACATGTGGGCCAAGGGAAGAGTGGGTAAACTACGGGGCCAACGTACACAGGCTCTGTGAGAAGTGGATGGTTATAAAACAAAATGTTTAGATCAGTGAAGCGTGTTGTGTCTGGCCATTGTCCTTTCCCTTTTCCCATGAAGAAATGCCTGGACATCAGACAGTGCCTTGCCCAAAAGGTTTTTCTGCTGCTTTTTCACTTATATTCTAGACAAAAGCTGGAGAGTTCTTGGCTTCAGGGCTGCTCCTGGGTGTCTCCCTAATGCTGGGTGCTCTCTGTTGAGATAGCCCCTCTGGGACTCTCGGTGATTCAACCCCGTCTCATCTCTGAGTAATCACTCATCCTCTACACCGCCGTGGTTGCACAATGCGACAGGCATGCACAGACACTGCAAGACCTGTCAAATGATCAGGAAATATTCACCTCCAGAAATAATGGAAATGAGCCTTTCCAACCTGAACTGATTCGAGCTGTTAGCTCACGGTATCATATGGATCACTGAGGCTCAGCCTCGCAGCCCCATCCACGTTGGCTTCCGTGAGAGCCATCTCACTGCTGGCTCTTCTTCATCACCTTCCCTCAGAGCTTCCTGTGGGACCTCCCCTGCAGAGCCACTGGCTGAAGGACTGCGCAGGGGCGGTGCTTCTATCACATCCAGTTCTGTCTGGTAGCTCTCAGTGGCTGTGAGATACGGGGCACTGAACGAGTTTGGGGCACGTACGGTGTTTGAGTATGACACTTTCTGTCGTTCTTCTTCATCACCTTCTCCAGAGGAGGTGGGGAAGGTCACCCAGAGTTAGGGTGAAGAGGCCAGCCTGCCCAGGGCTCCTCCAGGTGACCACGGATTGTTGTTGGTGCTGAGCAGAGCCTGCAGTTAGCCTAAACTCCCTTCAGATACTTCTTAAGGAAAGGAAGCACTTTGTTCTTGAAGATTTTTACTTAACCACAGAGAAGGTCCCTGTGTTACATGCAGTCTCCCTCTGAAACTCAGATATTTTAGGTTAGTGTATGCTCATTGATGAAGATTGTTTTTGACCGTGAGTGTTTTGACCCACTAGGATGGCTAGAATAACAAAGACAGATAGTAACAAGTGTTGGCAAGCATATGTATATTTATTTTTTTTTGTTGTTGTTGTTGTTTTCCCCGTACCAGGAATCGAACTCACAACCTCGCACTTGCCAGGCAGGTGCTGTGCCACTGAGCTAAATCCCCAGCCCCGCATATGTATATTTGGAACCTTCATGCTTTATTGGTAGAAATGTCAGAAGTGTAACATGGTATAGCCACTTTGGAAACCATGTGGAAATTCCTTAAGATGTTTTATAGTCCAGCAGTTCAACTCCTTGGCATGTACCCACCCCCTCAAATGAAAACATATGTTCACATTTAAGCTTCTACACAAGTGTTCATAGCAGCATTATTCGTAAGAGAAAAAAAAGGAAATGACCAAATGCCTATCAACTGATGAATGCCTATCAACTGATAAGCATATTAATCCATATGGATATGCATTAATATGCTTATCATTTACCCTTAAAAAAGAATGAAGTATTCATGTATTCTATACCATAGATGCCTTGAAAATATGCTAAGACAAAGAAGCCCATCACAAAGGACCACATATTGTATGATGCTATTTATGTGAAATCCCACAAATTGGAAAAGTCCGTAGAAGTCGCAGGTAGACTGGTGATTTCTAGGGGGCTGTGGATGGGATAACAGGAGGTGGGAAGTGACTGCCAATGGGTGTAGGGTTTCTTCTGGGGTGATGAGAATAGTATAGAATTAGTGGTGATATGGGGCTGGGGACTTAGCTCAGCGGCAAAAGCACCTGCCTGGCAAGTGCAAGGCCGTGAGTTCGGTTCCCGGTACCGGAGAAAAACCCAAAAAAAACAAAACAAAACAAAAAAGAATTAGTGGTGATAGTTACACAACTTTGTGAATACATTAATGACCGCTAAGTTGTATATTTTAACATGGTATGCTATGTTTTATGTATGTGAATTATATCTAAATAAAACACTTCAAAAGAAATGCACATAATTATGCATTAACTCTGTCTGCTAGAGTATAACCATGGTATCCGACACAACATCTATCAGATGTGGGTCGTCGGCCACCAGTGCACGCTTGCTCAAAGTGCTCAGCTCTGCTTCCTTTGTCTGCAGGCAGCATAGCCTCCTTCCAGGCCCCCAGTGCCAAGCTCCGGCTGGTGATCCTGGCCCTTGGTGTGTCCTCCTCGCTGCTCGTGCAAGCTGTGACGTGGTGGTCAGGAAGTGGCTTGCAAAGGTATGTTCTGGTCAGTTTTCCCATTGCTGGGATTGAACACCTGACACTCGCAAGTTAGAGAAGCTTAATCTGATGCACAGTTTCAGAGATTTTACTGTTCTAGACAAACAAGTATAATCAGTGTCCAAGGGGGAACTCAGGGCCAGGAGTTCCAAGTTACAGCTTTTACCATCTGTGAAACCTTGCAAAACTCTCCTTTTTTCTTTTTTTCACAAGACCAGGGTGTGACTACTTACCATAAACCTCAATAATGTTTTTCTCGGTGCCAGGGATTGAACCTAGGCCTTGTGTGTCCTAACTGAACCATACCTTCATGTTCTACCACTGAACCTTATCCTCAGTCCCAATAATGGGCTGAGAATTAAAGAATTCTAACAAACTGCGTAGGAGGGCTATATGAAGACTGCATCAAGCACATGACCGCAGACTTCCAACAAGACAGTTTCATATTCTCATTCAGTGCAGCTGAAATTCATAATGGACAAAGCTCACTGCACCCACATGAACGGTCTTTCACATCGCTTTGCGTTTGCAGGTATCTCAGAATCTGGGGCTTCATTTTAGGACAGATTCTTCTTCTTGTTCTCCGAATATGGTACACCTCCCTAAACCCAGTCTGGAGTTATCAGACGTCCAACAGAGTGATCCTGACATTAAGCACCATAGCCACACTTGATCGCATTGGCACAGGTAAGTGCATGCCCCGTTTGCTGGGGGGTGTCCTCTCTCGCAGGGTGTACCTTTTCTGTAAGAAGGCAACACGCCTAGGGAAGGACATTTATAAAAATACTTTTCCTGCACTGTATCTCAACTTCAGGTTTCTCCTTTCTGAAATGGTGACTGACCTAAGACACCTTGCTAATACAGACAGGGCAGAAGTAGGAAGCCGTCGGTGGTGTGCGCCCTTGTGTCAGTGGGAACGACAGCCAGGCCTTGTAGATGCGGTTCACACCCAGGCCCCTCTTGTCTTTCCTCTGGACTGAGTTCTCCAGTGTGCGATTCTCCATTCTCCACCTCTGACCCACCCCTAGAAAGTCACTGTGGTCCACAGCTGTGGCACCTACCTGGTTTTTTCCAGGGGTCTCAAGCTCCAAACCCCAACCTTGAAAAGAGGGGAAAGCTTACGTGTTCACTCCACTTTTCACATCACCTCCCTCTCACGGCAGCTGGCTTTTTGCAGCACACACCTCAGCTTGGGCGTCTGCTTCCCACTGCAACCTGGGACTCTGAGAAGAAGGGAGCGTGCTCCTGGAAGCTGATTCACCGGCTTCTGGCTTTCCCTGTAACTCTCAGTGAGTTGCGTTCTTTTGTAAATACAAGGACGAATCACACAGATAAATGGAAGCGTGGAGGGTATTGGCGCAGCATGAAGAGAAAGTGCTTGTATAATTTCCCTCGGGCCCAAATTTTGGCAAGAAAGAGAGATAAGAACAAGGGAAATTAAACAATGAGTGAGTCATACGACTTTAGTGCACGTACGTTCAGAGCTTGGCCTAGTCCCTGAATGTATGTTTTATATTTTATAAATCGCAGCGTGCAGATGTGCACACTTGGTAGTGCGTTTCTCAGGTACAGCCGGATAGTGTACTGTTTGCATTTCCTGGCTTCGGTTTTCTTCCTTCTTGCCTGGTTGCAATTACATGGCCCAGATGCCCACTGTCACTCTTTTCCTCTGTTTTTACCCTGTGCCTCATTTTCAAAACTCAGGCGTCCCCAGATACCTGAACACAGTGGGTGTTTTTTGTTATTGTTGTTTTGTTCGAAGATTACGTGGGTGCTGAGTATGGGCTTGCCTCCCACAGTTCCCTGCCTGTCACTCTGTAAGTTCACTTTAGAAAGCTGTTTTCTCCAGACGCTGCTTGTCCCCCCTCCCCCGCCCCCATAGCTGCTGCTGCCTCCTCTGGCCCCGTCCCTTCTCCCTGTGAAGTGACATCGTCAGCCCCACAGGCAGAACCTACGTCTTCCTTCTGCCCGGTGGAGACTCTGCAAGGTCCCCAAGTGCCTGCCAGACAGGAACTCTGCTTGTGTGAAGAAACTGTCCTGCTGGCGTTTTCTTCAGTTGTCATACTTCCATGTGTGAAGTCCTTGCTGTGGTGAGGAGCCTCCTGCTGAATCACACCAGTGTGACATAGTTCAGCAGCCTTGGGGTTTCTCTTTCCTGGCTGTGTGATCTTGGACAATCTAGTTGGTCTCTCTGGGTAAGGTTTTGTAATCTGTAAAGTGGACTTCGTGGTAGAGGCTGTCTGCAAAGATGTTGTGAAGATGAACTGTGTTCATATGAAGGGCTCGGAAGAGGGGCCTGGCACATAGTAACTGCCCAGTAAGTGCAGTTATGACCCTTGGTGCACAGAGGGTTCAGCGAGAGCCCTGTTCTTTTGGAGGGAAGTTTTCCACTCGCGCTGGACAACTCTTGTTTCCTGTCACTTACTTTATCAGCATGTTTTTGCTCCTCCTGTTGCCTTCACATGAAATAGTAGCTTTCTGCATTCTTCCTGTCAGATTCAAAAGCACCTGTCCTCTGTTAAACCATCCCTGTCTACCCTGCTAGAAATCATGTTCCCCACCAAATAGCCATCGGCACATTCTGGTTTGTATCGGTGTGGCAGAGCTCATCTCCCTTTCTAGAGGGAGCTCCTGAGCCAGTGTCCTTTCCTGCTTGCTGAATGTCTGTCAGATGTACTGGGGGAAGTTCCGTGTGACTGGCTGTTTCCTTTGTTTCTCCCCCCGATTCTAGATGGCGACTGCAGTGAACCTGAGGGGAAGAAGACTAGCCAGGCAGCCAAGGGCGTGGCCTGTGGACCTAACTGGCCGTTGGCAGGGGCTGCCTTTGGTACCCTTGTGTTCCTCACCCACTGGGTCTTTGGAGAGGTCTCTCTTGTTTCCAGATGGGCAGTGAGTGGTCATCCCTACGCAGGGCCAGGTCCTAACCCATTTGGGTGAGTTTGGGTTTGGAGCAGTCATGCAGCTCGCAGTTATGTCTAGAGGAAGAAACATCTCTGTGGTTTGACAGGCAGATCTGTGCTAGCCAGATACAGTCTTTCATATCCATTCCCCCAGATATCAGAAATGTTGTCTGAACTTATTGTGAAGTCTGGAAATGGGGGGCCACTGAGTGCTACATTGTAGCTGTTACTCCTGCTAGATTTCTTTTTTTTTTTTTTTTTTTTTTGAGACAGGGTCTCGCTATGCAGTTCAGGCTGGCCTTGAACTCACTTTGTAACCCACGCTGGTCTTGAACCTGCAATGATTCTCCTGTCTCAGCCTTCTGAGTGCTGGGATTATAGGCATACGCTACCACACCTGGCTTTAGATGTTTTTCTAAAGTTTCTTTTTGTTCCTCTTGCTCCAAATTTTTGCCAAGATAGCAAAAGAATGAAATAGTTTGTCACTACTTTGAAAAATGAACAGCTGTCAATATTTGTCCAGCTGACACTGGTCTCAGGAAGGCAGAGACTAGACAAGAGCAAGTGCTGGGGCGGAGAAGGGAGAAATGGCAAACTACATAAAATAATTGCTAGGGGCTTCTTTCTGTTGATCTTTGGCAATCATTCTCAATGTCACATGACCAGTGTGGACTACAATTGAAGAGTCTGGGAAAACTTGATTATTGTGCTTTCCTTGAGCAGGAGAGACTGCAGATGCCCTTTATTTAAAGTTGGAGTTTGTATGCTCCATGGCTCCAAAAGTGTGTCATATTAGTGCCTGACGGGCTCTCGTGATCTCACTGGTTCTTTCATACTCATGCTGTCTTTTGACTGTACCTAGTCATAGCAGGTCTATTTCTGTTTTACACATGAAACAATGAAATGTTAATGCCATCAAATGTCTTAGTGCTTTTTCTATTTCACAGAGGTGCAGTTCTGCTGAGTTTGACGAGCGGGTTGATGCTTTCAGCATGTGCATGGTTTCGCGGAGCCAGTTTACTCTGGTGGGTCACAGGTATGTAGGCTTTACCTTCGGATGTGCGTTGAGCTTGTTCCCCAGTTTACCTCAGTGTATGCAGCTGGACTTGAGGAAGATGCAGCCATACGTACTATGGCTAAATGGGCCGTCTCAGGTTGCTGTGGCAACTCTAACCCGGACGTCACCAAGGTCCCTAGTGACAGCCTGCTTCAGATTCCTGCTTGCAGTCGTCCCTTACCTTCTGCGGGTGTCCTGTGCCCCAGACTACACTGCTGCAGTACTACTGTGTTCGCCACTTTCTTGTCACAGAGATAAAACATCTCACATGCGCGTCTTGAAGGAGAAGAGGTTTCTTTGGGCTCCTGCTCCGTCCTCGTGCAGCAGGGAGGTGTGGCGGAAGGGCTGGTGGAGCAGAACGCTCACTTCATGACGTCCAGGAAGGAGAGGGTCCAGGCAGGAGCTGGGAAGGGAGACATGTCCTCCTAGGTCACGCCCACAGCGATCCACCAGACCTCACCCCTAACGGCACATCTGTTCCGTGCCCCCCACACAGCCCAGTCGCCTTCCAAGGCCCCACCTCTGAGCACATGAGACTAAGGGGGCACATCTAGATGTAAACCGTGACAACTCCCTCCCCTGAGAACACTTCCCCAGGCGTCCATGAGGTAGCACCTCTTACTGAAGACTGGAGGGTGATGTAGCACCAGTTGCAAGTTGCCAGGTCCTTTTCCCTCTTCAAGATTTCTTGCTTTTCAAAATTGTCCTTTTTTGAGATTCAGTAATGGCATTTACTATCCTTTCCTTTTCTTTTTTACATGTAATAATTTGCCTTCCATTCTTTCACCCATCTTTGGAATCCGTGCTTGCTGTTGACACACCTGGTCATTTCTCCCTAATTACAGCCTTTAGGATCCAGAAGGACTGGGGAAGGCGGTGACATTTTGGGTTGCCGCTTCTCTCTCTCCCATTGGCCTTGGTGAGCACATAGGTGCACTGTGTTATTTTCCTGTGACTGAATCATGTCACTCCACTTCTTCTTAAAAGGCAGAAATGGTTAGACAGTAGTCATTGTTGGCATGAAGTGAAAATTCCCTGCTCTTTAACAGAGCAAACACAATATTTGGTTTCTGTGAGATGTCTTTATACATATTAATTGAGCAGGTGATTCAGAGTGTTGGCCTAGATCTGTGGAGACTGTGTATCCATCACAGAAGATGCGGGATGGAAAATGTGGGTAAATGTCTGCGTGCTGTGCCCTTCACAGGCTTCGCGTAGAAATGTGTGTGGGACCGAACAGGCTGCTAAACGAATGAGGCCGGCCAGGTCCCCGCCTCCTGGAGCCATATGAGCAAGCTGTGTGGTCATGATGGGCTGTTTTGACTGGCTGTGTGTTTTCTGGTGGGAATCCCATCTGTAATCTGAAAGTCCTTCTCGTCAGAGAGCTGCTTCATGAGATTCTTTAGGAAAGGCCAGATAACTGAGTTTGCAAGGAGCATATTTGGCTTATTAGTCAGTATACAATTTGGAAAAGGAAAGTGAAATCTGTCAAAAGTTTGTTTAGCATTTATAGTACATGTCTTGGTTACTTTTTTCTCGCTGCTGGGACAAAATATCTGACGACCAAAATTAAGGAAGGAAAGGTTTATTTCGCTTACAGTTTGTGGAGGTTTCAGTCCATACTAGGCATGATTATAAGGCAGAGTGGCACGTGGCAGAGGGCTGCATCTCAGGGCGGCAGCACTGCCAAGCCGCCAGCACACACCAGGGCACACACACCAGGGCACACACACCAGGGCACACACACCAGGGAACACACACCAGGGCACACACACCAGGGCACATACACCAGGGCGGAATGGGGGAGGAATGCCCCAAGCACTCTTTTCCTGTCCCTTACATATACAAACTATCCACTCCCAGGAGGATGCAGCTCTCACACCCATATTCAAACTCTAATAGCCTGCCCCAGGGCCGCAGGAGGCTTTGGGGGGACACACAGACATAAACCATAACAGTAGACTTTTTTTTGTCTCTTTTTTTTCTTTTTTCTTTCTTTCTTTCTCTTTCTCTTTCTCTTTCTCTTTCTCTTTCTCTTTTTCTCTCTCTCCTTCTTCCTTCCTTCCTTCCTTCCTTCTTTCCTTCCTTCCTTCCTTCCTTCCATCTTTTGTGCTTTTGAGACAGTGTTTTACTATGTAGTTCAAGCAGGCCTTGAACTCACTTTGTAGCCCAGGTTGGCCTGGAGCTCACAGTGACCCTCCTGCCTCTGCTTCCTCAGTGCTGGGGTTACAGGTGCGCGCCCACAGCCAGCTAATGTGCTTTTTCTTATAGAAGATGAGTAAAGTGCTTATTGGGCAGGTGGTCAGTCAGCAGCGGTGTTTTCGACACGGGAAAGCTAAGGAGCACAGGAGCGTAGGACGTTAAAGAACAGAAGAGTCATGAGCTTACGGTCTCATTGCCCACAAAGGTAGGTCACATTTCTGAGAGTGAAACCTAATCTGGTTTTGCTGCTTCACTGCAACATTCCGTAGGTGTTTCAAAGACTCTAAAGGCAAGCAAATCCAGGGCTTCTATTTGCAGTGAGGGCTTCTATTTGCACATCGGCTATTTACAACAGAAGAAATCAGGCTCATAATTCATAGACTTCATCTTCCTTGCTGATCTCCTGCTTGCCTGAAATAAGTTGGATCTCACACTGATTATCTGGAGATAGTGTCCACTATTCACTGTCAGTCATCTCTGAAAACTTCATGATAAAGCAGAGCAGCAGGAATCATGTTTTCCTGTAGGACATTTAGTTTATGTCTCCTACTGAGGGACCAACATGAAATTAATTATGGCAGTGACCCAAGAACTTCATAAAGCAAAGATGTAGGAGCTTTAAATTTTTGATAGCAATTAAGTGAATAAAATCAAAGTTCTATTAGAAAAAAAGCATAGATGTTTTAAGTATACTGAAAGGGCCCCAGTGTACTACACAGCGTGCATATAATTTTATTGAATGAAAACATGTCCCATTGAAGAGTAACATGTCGATTCTTATTGTACATGTCATTGGAATTTCAGTCACCATTAATTCTGCTTGATGCCTTAGATGGAAAGGGTTGGGAGAGATTATTTGAGGGCCTCAGTCTCAAACAAATAAAAGAAACAACCAAGATATACAGTTAAGTAAAAAGGGCAAAGTGACTATCAGTGCATATAATATGCTACTATTGGTATACAAAAAGTACAGAAATGCATATAAATGTATTTTTCTTTGTCTGGACAAAACATCCCTTGAAAGATACAGAAATAAATGCTAATATTTGTTGCTTCCCCTAAGGGGACCTAGTGAATAACAGGCGTTAGAAGTTCCCTTTTGTACCATTTTTTATTGGCCTTGGAATTTATAACCAGCTTAAAAATACAAATTTCGTTTTAAAATATAGAGCTTACATTAAAATAGAAACTAAATAAAAAGTAAAATCAATAACAGTCAAAGGACATTTAAAGAGATGTTTTCTTTCCCTATAGATAATTCTTTGTCATAAGACAAAGACCACAGAGTCACTGTTTGGCTTGGTTTGTTTGGACATGGTTTCTCTATGAAGTCCAAGCAGGCCTTGAACTCACTATGTAGCCCAGGCTGGCCTTGAACTCTCAATTCTCGCCTCAGCCTCCTGGGGGTTGGGGTTACAGGTGTGTGCCACCATGCCCGACCATTGACAAAGTCACTTTAATGTCTTTAGAACATCAAACTATGACTTACTCCTTTAAAAATAGTCATGGTAAACCAGTAGACAGGGAAAACTCAGTCTCACTAATAATTAAATGAGAGCAATTTTACATGTCATACCACGTTCATCATTCATTTAATGAAGGGTTTTAGAAAGGAATAATTTTGGCAGGGTTTTGAAGGTGCAGAGACTTTGACAAATTTTCTGGAAGCGGTTAAGACTGACTTCATCTTCCAGGGCAGCAATTGGCCACAGGTATCGCTTTAAAAAATGTTTATACCCTTGACAGAGGTTGCACTGCTGGAAAACTCTTCTAAGGAAATAACAGATATGGTAAGAGATTTGTTGACAAGGAAGGTTGTTTATCACATTGTCGTTTTAACAGGTTGACGTTATGCATGTTGTTGTGTTTGTGTTCAGGCTGTATTGTATACATAAAGACATTAAGAACAAACTAATAACATGAACATCAAGAGTAACATACGATCTTTAATATGTGTTACAGTTTCATTTATGTAAAAAATACATAGAAAAATGCTTAGGAGAAATACACGCACCAGGTGAGATATTTCCTGTAGTGACTGGCACTCCGTACAGTGGTGGTCCCATAAGATTAAAATGAAAAAAGTCCTAACAGCTAGCATGTTTTCTGTATTGCACCTTTTCTGTGTTTAGACACACAAATACCACTGTGTCACGACTATCTACCGTGTTCCCTACAATAACGTGCTGCAGAGAGTTGCAGTCTCAGAGCAGCAGTGTAGACCAGGGATGGCAAACCTTTCAGCACTTCCAGTGATAACCAACAGCCTGCTGCAACACGCGTGCCGTAGGTTTGCCATCACTGGTGTAGATCACAGTCTGTGTACAGCAGGCTGCGCTGTCTCCGTTTGCATGAGTGCTCATTGGTATTTGCACAGTGATGGAATCATTAATGACAAATGTCTCAGAACAGTCCTTCCTATTAGGCGATGCATGGATGGCTACTTACTGTGGCTGTCTCAATCCTAGGTAGTCAGTCTTTCATTGCCTCCTTACAGTTCTGTATTTTATTTTATTTTATTATTTGTTTGTTTGTTTCCAGTACCGGGAATCGAACTCACGATATTGTGCTTGCCAGGCAGGCGCTGTGCTGCTGAGCTAACTCCCCAGCCCCCAGTTCTGTATTTTAAACTCAAGTTCTGTTTTGTTTTGTTTTTTTGGTACTGGGAATTGAACTCAGGACCTTGCGCTTGCCAAGCAAGGTGCTGTGCCGTGCGCTGTATCCCTGGCCCTCAGTTCTGTATTTTAAAAGTTTCTACAGCAAGTAAGGTTTGCAGTTGTTTTATTCCACAACAGAAGAAATCACTGTTGTGGGCTCTAGGTCTCATCCAACTCCGTGGGTTATAGAGGACCCTGGCATGTGGTTCTCGTGTTTATCTCAGTGAGCTTCTTTTCGAAGGAGGAGGAGCGGAGACCCCCACGGCTTTGCCCTGTACTGGTGCAAATGGAACTTAAGGATGGATGTGGGCCATGCAGCATTCAGAAGCTGGCTGAAGCCACTTTCTGCTCCCCACGCCTCTTTTTGTGACGTTCTTACCCTGTGTGATAAAGTGTCTGCTGTGGACATCTTGAAGGATGCGTTCTGTTCTAAAACAGTGACTGAAGAGTTTCACAGTTGCCGTTTTGTCGATGGAATGTCTTCTCTTGGTAGCCCCAGCGTGGGGTGGACCTGAAGTGCAAGGCAAACATCAAAGCTGATGTCATACGAAGCGGGGGACGGTTATGTGCCCTCAGTGTTGGCTCAGCAGAGCAGCATTGGCTAGACGCCTGCTGCAGAGCAGGCGGCACTCACCTCCAAACCTGGCAGGCTGTGGGCAACAAACCCACAAGCTGCAGATCTGCCAAGGCAGCAAGTCCAGCAGTGCTCTCTCAGTGTCACCCTCTTCTCTGGCTGTGTGGGGTCAGGAAGGTGAGGGTGCCTACTGTAGGACACGGGGCAGAAATTACCTTAGAAAATGCCTTAACAAAAAATGTTCAAGAAGCCATCCTGCCTCTACCTGTGTTTTCTACAGTATCTGGCTGGTTAAATTTAACGAATATATTTTGGTATTGTGGATAATTTCAGTTTTTGTTGCTGTTGGGATGATAGCATCAATTACTTCTTCTGTCCTTCTGTCCTTCTGTCCTTCTGTCCTTCCCAAAGAAATCACACTGGCCTGAGGTTTGCTACACTGCCTTCCACCTCCGGACGTGCCAGAGACAGCCTGTGCGGCCTTGATCCAATCAAACTAACCTGCCGGGCCTTGGTTTCCTGGGGGTTGAAACAGTCTATGCCTACGGTCTTTCTGGCTCTAAATGGGTATAAATCAGGCATCTTATAAGCTTTACTACTTTCCTAGCTGACTCACTTTTCCCTCTTTCTCTCTCACAAACAGGAGCGGCTTCAGCTGCAGGTCTCCTTTACCTGCGCACGTGGGCAGCCGCTGTCTCCGGGTGTGTGCTGGCCGCCTTCATCGGGTCCATGTGGCCTCAAGTGCTGGGACACCTTGTTAGCTCGGGGACGAGGCCTGGGGAGGCCATGTCTGTGGCCATGATAGTGTATATTCTAGACGTGTTCTTCTGTGCGTGGTGCACAGCTTTTAAGTTCGTTCCAGGAGGAGTCTACGCGCGCGAGAGATCTGATGTGCTGCTGGGTGAGTACACTTAAAGGTTTCAGATGGAAGGTGTCAAAAATATCCTCAAGGACCAGCTGGGATTTGGCACTTTGCATGACTGGTGAGAGTAGGATGATCTTGCTTTCTTAGTAAAATAGCCTCTTTTGGTTAGAAAAAAACCCTGGAGGGATGTCTACATTGTAAGTTAAAAATAAATTTTTTAATTTATCATGCCTTTCAGTAATATTTATTACTCCAAAGTTCTTTTAAAAGAATTGGTTGTGAAAAATGTTTAATCCATAATAAAATGCGAACTATGTATCTAATATGTTAGGAAAGGTATAATTACGATGTTCGTTGCTATGTCAGCAGTAGTGTTATAAATATACCTACGGGTTGTAATTTTTGGGGGTTTATCTTGAATTTTATCAATGGTTTTTATTTACTGTATTTTTACCAATAATTTATAGTATGTATATCTCTTCGTGTAAATGATAAACTCCCAATCACAGAATAAATGCATTTTCCATTCTGTGGTTATGAATTAGCATATCAAAATAAAAAATTCATAAGTTAGTTTGTTTATTTGTTCAGTTTTTTATTTATTTATAGAACAGGGTATTGAGCCCAGGGCCTTCACACTGACTATATCCCCGGACTTTTTTGTTTCTATTTTGAGGCAAAGTGTTCTTGTCTTCTGGCAGTAATGAAATTACTGACGCATACCACCCAAACAGATCCAGTGTTGTCAGTCATTTTAAGTAAAACTTGTCAAACCCTTTCACAATAAAATCTTAGAAAATAACGGGATAGTTCTAGTTCTTGTTTGGTCATATGCTCATTTTTCTATTTTTCTCACTTAAAAAAGTTCTCACATGCCTACTGTTTTCTGGGCATTGTGCCAGGAACTGGAGGTGAAAAATACCTGGTGTCCCTGCCCACCTGGAGCTTTAGCCGAGTGGGAAATTCTCCAGAGAGACAAGACAGATGCTTGTGAAAACAGTGTGAGGCGATGCTGGGAGGTGTGGGGCGGCTTCTGCCTGTGCTTGGTCTCCGGTCTCCCTGTACCCCTGGCGTGTCCAGCCGCTCCGTGCATCTTTCCAATATCCTGCGAGCAGACATCTGTCAGGACAGCCTGCTTTGGGAGGTGTGCTACTGAGTGACATGGAACACTTTAGAATGGCCTTTGAGGATGTGATATTTGTGGTCAGTGAAATTAATTAGGGAAATACATTGCTGCATTGCTTCTGCAGCGACCTTGGCCTTGTGAACTTTGTTTCTCTTCTGGTTTCTTTCAGGTGGGCGGACTCTGTCCTGCTCTATTTTCCTGTGCAATGCCCTGCTTTTCTCTTATTCCAGCTTGCTTAGGGGGTCTACCATGTGAAGAAAAGGAGGAAGTAAGAGCTGTCATGGGCATACATTTGTTTGTGTAGAAATTTACAACTGGTGAGAATTTTTAGTTCCTTCTCACTACGTGTTGGATTGCGAAGACCATCACTGTTATGGCTTCGTACGACGTTTTCCGGAGGGTGACTTTGTATGGGGAAAGCTACGAAAACAAAGACTATTGGAAATGTGCAGAGTAGCTTTAATACAACTGAACTGAAAAGAATCTGCATTATATCAGAAATTAGTCATGCGTTTATTTTCCAAGTTTCACTTGCTATTTCTTGGAAAATTGTACCTAACTTTTTTTTTGGTAGCCTTCCACATAAGCTAAACTTGGCATTTCCTGATTTACATATTGTTCCATATCTCTGTGTATGTTCTTATTATGTACGATTTTAGAGGTACGAAAGCTTTACATGTGCGCTGCTTTGTAGTGCATTGCAGTTTAGCCCAACTTGGGGCTGGGGATTTAGCTCCGCGGCACAGCGCCTGCCTGGCAAGCGCGAGGTCGTGAGTTCGGTTCCCGGTACCAGAAAGAAGCAAAGCAGAACAAAACAAAACCAAATTTAACCAATTTAGCCCAACTTTGTTGCACACTGTGAGCTCTGGCCCGCGTCCTTTGTTCTGATCTTGTGCCCTGAGTGCCCACATTCGGGGCAGAGTTACTGCCACAGCCCTGCCTTGCTGAGAGCTGCAAGCCTCTCACTGTGCGTCTCCTCTTGGTGGGTGTGAGCGCTGCTCAGTGGAGAAGCTGGGGCCCCTGTGGCCTCAGAAGCTCCTTTATCTTATACTGCACTTTCCCCGGCCTAATCCCGGGCAGTGACAAGTGCCGTGAGCAGTCTGGCAACTGGGAACACTGAGGAAATTCAAGGGCGTTCCTCCCCATTTCTCATCGAGAGCATGGTTCCTAGAGTCTGACTTGATTTCTCATGATTGTTCCTGTTGTTGGAAGCACTGCAACAGTAGTTGCTTAGGTACTCAGATAAATTAACTCAGTAACTGAATTTCGGGGAATGCTCATTGAAAGTGCATCTTGGCTCCTGGAATTTATCGCTGGAAGGGCTTTCCCATTATACTGTGTTATCTTCTTTCTCTCTTAACAGGGTCCATAATGCTGATTATTGGGCTCAATGGGTTATCTGGCTCGAAGAAAAACCTGGACTTCCTTCTGCAAACAAAAAGCAGTCCTAAAGGGCCTTTCAGAAAGAGTGATAAATACATTAAACTTTGTAAGTATAGTTTTACATTTTTTATATAAAGAGATATTACATAAGTTTTCAAACATACGTAATGAAGCCTCATGTAATTTCCACTCAGCTTTAATAAGTCTCAGCATTTTGCCTGTGTTGATGACAGCTGTGTTCCTCCTTCTTTGGGTTTAAACATTTTAAAGCAAATCCCTGATGTTGTCCTTTCAACCACAGATAGCCTGTATTAGTTTTATTTTACTTCTAATGAAGATATGCTGATTTAATAGGTAGACTTTCCAAAATGCTTTGTTCTAGTAGTTGACTGTTCCATTTCTTGTTCTCCATTTTTTTTTTTTTTTGGTTTTTCTCCGGTTTGAAGAATAAATATGTTAACATTTAGTGCGTTGATAAACTTCAGTTTCATACATTCAGTTAATTACTATCTGTATCTGACTCATTTCAATGGACCAGATTTAATAACACTTGTACCCACACAGTGTGAGGATTAGGTGATGTTGAATTGGACGCAGAGCCGTATAAACAGTGGTCTTTACCTTCAAGGCATTGATACTTTATTACAAAGATAAAAGCTTACCGTATAAAAGATAAAAAACAGCTAAGAAGCTGTAGTAATTTAAAAAATATTTCCAAGAGATAACGTCATAAAGCAGTAAGAACATCATAAAAAAAACAAATACTTTTTATCATGATTTAGAAAGCATATTTACCGTTAGGAGGAAAGTGCTTATGTGTGTGTGTTCTTTTGTTATATTTTGGCATGTCCCTTGAACCAGAATCTGGTAACTTTTATTGGTTCTTAATCCTGATTTTTTTTAAAGAATCATTTCTTTAATTCACTGATCAAATTGAGGCATTTGGAAAAGTTTATCTACAAAGTTTTAAAGAGTAGGCTTTATTTTTCAGGGCAGTTTTATGATCACAGCAAAACTGAGTGGCAGGTACAGAGATTTCCCATACACGTTCCACTCCCACGTACCTAAGCCACTCCCACTGTCAAAATCACTACAGTGACATACTTGTTATAATCAGTGAACCTACACTGACATATCACTATCACCCAGAGTCCACCAGTTCATCTTGTTCATTCTGTAGGTTTTGTTTCGTTGTGTGGTACAAGAGATTGAACTCAGGACTTCGGCACTGAGCTACATATTCCCAGCCTTTTATATTTTCTATTTTGAGACAGGGTTTCACTAAGTCCCTAGGTTATCCAACCTGGACTTGAACTCTTTTTTTGGTACAGGAATCAAACTGAGGACCTTACACTTGCCAGGCAGGTGCTTGTGCCACGGAGTCACCCCCTCAGCCCAGGACTTGAACTTTTGATCTTGCTGCCTGAGCCTTCCATAGTTCTGGGATTACAGGTGTGAGCACCTTGCCTGGCTCAGTCAGTAGGTTATGACAAACGTGTAACAGCATGCAGTCACTGTTAATTACACTGCCCTTCAGAATGGTTTTGCTGCCCTAAACATTCCCGGAGCACCTTCATCCTCCCCTTTCAGAGCCCTGGCAGACACTGGCTTTCTTCCTGTTTTCATTGTTTTGTCTTGTCCAGAATGTCAGACTTGGGTTTTTTTTTACATGTTTCAACTACTTTTCTAGTGATTTCTAATGTATTGTTATTTATTTCTACATTTACTTCGCTTTTAAATTAATTTTCCATTTTGTGCAGGTATATTTTTTCCTTTTTATTTTGTATTGTTTAGTTTCCCCTCTTTGTTTCTCTTTCATTGCTTTTCATTTGTTTTATTGTACCCCTCCTCCACTCTCCTCTTTCTAGATTGGAAATTATACCTTCCATTTCTATGTTTTAGTGATTGGTTGTTTCTCTCTCAGCACACTGAAGGCGTTCTTGTCCTGTCTTCTAGTTTCTGCTTTTGCTGTTGAGAAGTCAGCTCTTAGGGTAATTGCTTTTCATGTGAAAATAATCTATCCTTTCTCTCTGACAGCTCTTGTGATTTCTCTGTTCTGTGTGCTAAAGTTTTGATAGGTGATGATGATAGATAGATCGATCGATCAATCTGAAGAGCTTTTGGACTTTGTGAATCTGAAGAGTCACATCTTGTGAATTCTAAAAAAAAACTTACCAAGTACTATCTTTTTATTCTTTCTGCTTGTTCCTTTTTTCTTCAGTGGGTTTTGTGTTGGACCTGTTTATTGTATTCTCAATGTCTCTTGACCACTTTCCGTGTTTCTACCTGGTGTGTGTGTGTGTGTGTGTGTGTGTGTGTGTGTGTCTATTGTGTGTGTGTCTCTGTGTGTCTCTGTGTGTGTGTGTCTGTGTCTATGTGTGTGTGTGTTGCCTTGCATTAATTCTCTATTCCCCTTTGTCCAATTTGCTGTCTTTCTTGTCCATTGAATTTCTAATTTCAACTATTATAAATTTTTTCTTTCTAGACATCTGTTGGATTTTTTTTACAAATTCCCGATTATTATTTTAGTCTCGCATTCCTTAGTCATACTTCTGGATACCCTCTTTTATTTTCTAAACATGTTAAACATTTATTTTACATTGTGATTGTGAAAATCCAATATCAGAAGTCTTTGGGTGTTTGATTCTCCAGAACGCTTTTCCACTGTGACTCCTGCCCATAGAGACTTGTTTTCTTGTATATTTTATAAGTTACTTTTCCTTTAAGCTCGTGATCCTTGGGTCATTCTAGGGAATACTCTTTGAAACCTGAGTATAAAGTATGCATTATATATGCATTTCACGCAGGAAAACCAATCCAAGATTTAGACATTACCACAAACTCCTTGTCCAATAAACTCAATAATTTTGAAAAAATTGTAAAAAGTAAATTGAAGGGAGGGTAGAGCAATGAAAGTAAAGTAAATTTAGTTTCTTTTAAAAATTTTTTTCTGTTTAGTGTTGTGGCTGCTTGTTGGTGTGGGGTTGTTGGGATTAGGACTACGGCATAAAGCCTATGAAAGGAAATTGGGCAAAGGGGTAAGTAATTAAAAATTTTGAAGTAGAATTTTGTATTACATATGTATAGAGATATATTGTTACACTTTACTCTTCTGTTTGAATGCTACGTGTGGACCTGATGCCTTTAAGATTCTTTAATCTTTGGATACATATTGATAATATTAAAGCATTATTTTATGGAATTGAATTCTTGGGCTAGATGTAGACTATTTAAAGTTTTGTTTAGTGTTGTCCTGCCATTCATTATTTAACATACCTACACTCTGAAATCAGAAATTCTTTTATAATTAATAGATAGTTCTAAGGAGAGCAACCAGAAATTCTTTGATATCAGAAAAATCTCACTGGGGGCTGGGGATTTAGCTCAGTGGCACAGCGCCTGCCTGGCAAGCACGAGGTCATGAGTTCAATTCCCAGTACCAGAAAAAAAAAACAAAAACAAAAAAAAAAAGAAAAGAAAAATCTCACTGACAGTTCTTGATTTTACAGCATACAGGTAGTGTGTATGTTGTTGAGTTATAGAAGTTATCTTGTCTCTTTTAAATGTTTTAGCATCCCCTTCTCTTCTAGAAAGATGGGAAGACTTGAGAGTAAGTCATTGTAGTGCTGTCCTTTTTATCCACTCTGATGAAAATTCCATGTCTTCCTAAAGTAGAATCTGACTGGTTAACTAGAATTTCAGCAATCTGTACTACCAGAAAAAATTCTTAAATAAAAAGCTGCGTGGAAGATGCGGATCATGTGTCTCTCATTCATTCCTGCATGTCCAGCACCTCACTCGTCCTTGGCGCATATTCAGAACTCAATAACCACTTTCTTCCTTTCTTTTTCCTTCCTTCTTTCCTTTCTTCCTTCTTTCCTCCTGGTAGTGCCAACTATTACACCCAGGGCCCTTCTCAGTAACTGTTTTTAATAAGTAGGTGTCGTTTTTCTTTTTTTTTTTTTTTTTTTTTCTCCGGTACCGGGAACCGAACTCACAACCTTGCACTTGCCAGGCAGGTGCTTTTGCCGCTGAGCTAAATCCCCAGCGCCAATAAGTAGGTGTCTTTAATAGCAGGCTATGCTCGTGATCCCCTTCCCACGCACAATAGTTGTTATTGTTGCAGTATAATGTCCATCAAAGAAGATACCTGATGTCAGCCACAATTCCTTTTGAAAGGAGTTGAGTTGAATTTAATACCTGTTCATGTACTCATTCCTTCACTGATTCATTCATTCATTTAACAACTGTTTGTTGAATGCCCCTTGATGTGCCTCATGCCAGGGGTGACAGCGATAAACAAGCCGGATGAAATTGCTACCTTCCAGAGTCTGCGTTCTGCTAGAAAAAAAGAAAGTATTCACAGGAACAAATAAAGAAAGGCAATCATTTTAGATCAGGCTTCTCTGACGGAAACAGAATTATGGGGTGGGGGTAACAGCTGGGTAGTTAGAGACCGCTGTTCCGAGGAGGTGACACTTCAGAGGAAACTTGAAAGTTGACCAGCAAGCACTGAGGAAGGCTGAGACAGGAGGATTACAGTGTGAGTCCTACCTGGGCAACCTATGGGAGATCCTGTACTGCCAGAAAGAGAGAAGAAGCAGAACGCCAAAGCCCCCTGAAAGTTGAGAAAAAGACAGTTGTTTGGACAGCTTGACAGAGGGCGGAGGGAGAACCGAGCTGGTGAGTTTGGGCAGCGTCAGGGTGGCCATAGCTGAAGCATAGTGGCATGGTAGAAGATGAGTTTGGAGCGGCTGGGGCGGCCGCATCCCCTTGGGCCCCACAAGCCGTAGCGGGGAGCTCTGACTTTATTTTACCAGTAAAGGAAGCAGCAGTGATTTCGGGGAAGAAAATGATGCATGTCAGTTTGACAGCTCTGGGAAAAATGTATCAGAGGGTGGGGTGGAGGCAGGGAGATTCATCCTGAGGCTTTCCGGTTGTCTGGGAGAGACGGTAGTAATGGCATCTGGTGTGGCAGCAGCGGAGTTGGAGAACAGCGGAAAGTCTGGAAAGTAGAGCTGGCAGGATGTGTCAGTGGGCTGGACGTTGTTGGAGGAGAAGGAGGGAATCAAGGTTTTTGAGTGGAGCTCCTGGAAGAAGGAGGACGGCATTTACTGAGATGGGAAGGATGGAAGAACAGCTTGTCTTGGAGTGGTGAGGGCCAGAACGGATTACAGACAGACAGTTGTGTGGAAGGGCACCTCGATGAATGTGGTCATCCCTCTGGAGACCCCGTTGATGGTTCCGTTCCCTTCCCATGGTCTTCACTGAACGCGCACAGCCTTCTGTGAAGATGTGGCCCTCAGCCCTCTGCCGCAGAGCACGTGTGCCGACCTCGCTGTTTCCTCCTCCCTACCTGAACTGCGTGACTGAGTCTGAGTTGCGTTTTCAGCTGTGATCATGGCTTTGTTCTGAACCAGCCGTTGTCTTTCACAGGGACCCTGATGGTCTGGTAGTCCTCGGAGAGGAGTGGTTAGGCAGAACATTCTCTGACTTGCTTATGAACCCCAAAGAGGAGCTCTGTATGGGCTTGCTCCTTAGTCTTGGTCTTACCAGTGTGGTAGGTATTAGCATATCCCTGACCAGGCTGCAGTAGGGTGGTTACTTTATAAATATGGCAAAGGACTCTAGGTACCCTTCCCTATATGATACTCCCTTGCAAGAGTTGCTATTATTTTGAATATATTGTTTTTAAAAATCATTTCATACACTTTTGTATTGTATTGTATATGTATTGTATTGTGTTGTATTTTTATATGATAGAGCCCTAGACAATATTGGGGTTTTGTTTCACATTTTTAATTTGAATGACATCTAGCCAGATATATGGAGCACATCTATAATCCCAGCACTTTGGGAGGCTGAGGCAAGAGGATTGCAAGTTTGAGCCCTGCCTGGTAATTTAGTGACTTTAGAGAGATCCTGTCTCAAAAAAAATAGTGCTGAGGTTGTAGTTCACAGCAAAAGCCCTGTGTTCAATCTCTAGTTCTGAAAAACAAAAGATATCTGATACGTATTTTGCAATTTTTAAAAAATCATTTTTATGAGCTTCATCCATATGGAAATTTGTAGCTTTGATTCATTTATTAGAGCTGTGTAGTATTCTTTTATGCAACATCATTTATTTCTTTTCCTATTGATGGAATTCATTTACTGGGGATGTGTACTGTTGTATTATATGTAGTATGTAACATTTGTTTACTCCTTTTCCTGTGGATGGACAGCCAGCTTGTTTTAAGTTTCTTCTTCTTGTTAGAAGAAATTCTTATTATAAATACTCACTTTCACTTTCCAGACATTCCTCCGAGCTCCCAAGCTTCAGGTAGACAGTCACGGTATGTTTATTATGAGAATGCCAGGTAGCAAATATCTCCTTACTGTTAAGATGTCTTAGGAACTCCCTTTGCTAAAATATGAATTATGGTAGAGAGGGGGAGAAAACTGCTTTTCTTCAAACTGCTATTTTCACTGTTAGCCTAAATTACCATTGATCAATTCCTCAGGCACCAACCAGAGAGGTCTCTGCTGCCATCTGGACTTTCAGGTTTGGCTACGACAACGAAGGCTGGTCCAGTCTAGAAAGATCAGCCCAGCTACTCAATCAGACAGGTAAGACTCACTGGAACTGGTTCCAAGTCTTGAGAAACTGCTACTGTTAGTTTTATTTTCAGCAAGATTGTGAAGTCAGAGGAGGGATTACCAAGTCATACACTCTTTTTTTTTTTTTTTTTTTTTACTTTTTAAAGAGAATAAAGGTAATAAAATAACATTAGAAATGACAGAATTTCACTAAACAAGATAATACGAATTCAACAATTGTTGTCATATTGCATATTGTTGTCTTCAAATTAGTTATTCATATTATGTGATATAAGCATATAAAATTGGTCAAAAAATTTAAAAGAAAAAAATTAAGAATTAACAGTTCCTTTCCATAAACCAATAGAAATCAGCAGTATAATTATTCCAGCTATCCTTGTATATACATATTTTTTCCTTTCCCTCTTTCTTTCTTTTCTCCTTTCCCTCATCCCAGTTGTTCTTTTCCTTTGAGGAGTTTCTTTTTCTTTTTCTTTCTTTCTTTTTTTTTTTTTTTTTTTGTCTTTGGTAAAATAATTTTTTCTTTTTTTTAAAGAGTAAAAGAAACAATAACAAAAAGCCAACAATGAAGACAAAAAAACAAATCAGTACAAAATCAATGAAAACAATACAGGATTTCAAAACAAGATGATAGGAAGTAATATTGGTTGTTATAGTACATACTGTTATCTTCAGTGAAGTTGCTCAGATTACCAGGTGCAAGAATGCAAGATTGATCAAACAATTAAAGATAATGACAAGTAATAAGAAACAGATTTGAAGCAATACAGAGCTTCATCAAACAAGATGGTAGGAATTCAGCAATGGCTGCTATATTGCATATTGTTGTCTTCAAACCAGTAAGCAAGGGGCTGGGAATATAGCTCAGTGGCATAAGCACCTGCCTGGCAAGTGCAAGGTCGTGAGTTCAATCCCCAGTACTGCAAAACAAAAACAAAAAACAAAAAAAAAACCAAACCAGTAAGCATGCAAAATTGGTCAAGAAAAAAAAAGACTTAAGCATTAACTGTTCCTTTCAACCAAACAACAGACATCAGCAACACACTATTCCAGCTATCCTTGTATATACATATTTTTTCTTTAATTTTAAAGAGAAAATATCGAAAACAACACAAACATAGGCATTAACAAAACAACCTAAAAACAATGAAAATTATAGAGAATTTCAAAACAAGGTGAGAGGAAATCAACAATAGGTGTTACATTGCATATTGTTATCTTTAAAGTAGTTGTCCAGATTACTAGATATAGGCATGCAAGACTAATCAAAAGAAGTTAAACATTAACTATTCCTTTCAATAAACCAATAGAAGTTAGTATTAAATTATCTTAGCTATCTTGTGTATATACATATAGCTCTTTTTCCCCTTCCTTCTCTTTTTTTCCTCTTTTTCCTCATCCCAGTTGTTCTTTCCGATTTGAGCAGTTTCTTTCCCTTTCACAATGTCTATTGTGGCTTTCAGATTTTATTTACTCTTTCAGGTTCTTATGCTAGGGAGGCAATACGATGTTTACACATGTGAGTCTGATTTATTTCATTTATGGGTATGGTCTCAAGTTGCATCTATTTACCTGTAAAAGCCTCTAGGTTATCTTTCTTTATAGCTGAGTAATACTGCATTGTATAAAAATGCCACAACTTTTTTATCCATTCCTCAGTAGATGGACATTTGGGTTGTTTCCAAGATTTAACTATTACAAATTGTGCTGCTATAAACATGGGTACACATATCACGCTATGGTATGATGCTTTCAGTTCTTCTGGAAAAATACACAGGAGGGGAATAGCTGGGTCAAATCAGACCTTTAATCCTAGTTTTTTGAGGCTTCTCCACACTGATTTCCACAGTGGTTGTACCAGTCTGCACTCCCACCAACAGTGGAGAAGGGTTCCCTTTTCCCCACAGCCCCTCCAGCATTTGTTATACCTGATTTCTTGATCGCCATTCTTTCTGGGGTGAGACTGAATCTCAATGTTGTTTTAATTTGCATCTCTTGAATGCAAGTCGTACACTCTTTTAAAAAAAGGCTTGGCTTTGCTGGACAGTGGCAGGACTAAGCTTCCATAGCCACATCCATCTCTGGGAGCAGTTCTTCTTGTTGATTCTGAGCAGTGCCCCATCCTGGGGCTCTGCAGGGGATTCTCCTCATGCTCTTGCTGTTAAAGATGCCCTTGCTGAAGCTCCTGTCGCTCAGGGGCCAGAAAACTGTTGGATTAAACAGCAGAATATGCCAGAAGTATGGTCATGTGTGAAGAAAACCCTTCAAGAGTCCCAGAGCTATTTGTTTACGTGGCATTCATTTTTATATGAAGCATCCTTTAAAATATGTGGGTCTTGGCTCTGAGCTCAGCTACACAGAATATGTAGTTAGATAAGTAAAGGGTTAACTTTTCTGGCTATTTTTAATGATAAATATACTTCCTAAAAGTTTTCCTGTCTTCCTTTCCTCCCTTCCTCCCTCCCTCCTTCTTTTCCCTTCCTTTCTTTTCTGTTCCTTTCCTTTTCCATTTGTCCTTCCCCTTTCCCTCCCCTTTCCCTGTCTCTGTCCCCATTTCCCTGTCTCCTTTTCCTTCCCCTTTCCCTCCGCTTGGAGAAGACATTGCTCTGTTGTCCAGGCTGAGTTCAGGTTTGCAGTCCTGCTTCACCCTCATGGCGCTGGGATTAGTGGTGTGCACCACCACATCTGCCTCATTTGTAGTTCTCATTTTGAAACAGGGTCTCACTAAACTGCCCACACTAGCCTCAAACCCGAGGTCTTCCTGTCCCAGGAAGCTGGAATTCCAGGCAGCTGGAATTATAGGTGTGTGCCCCCTCTCTCGGTTCCTAAAGTATTGGTTGTCTGTCCCAGATCAGGCCTGGTGACTTTTAAGCAATTGGGGAGAGGTAGTAGGGATCAAACCCAACATGTTTTGCGTGACAGGTAAACACTCTGCCCCTGAGTTACATCCCCAGTCAACCCCTGAGAAATCTCTGAATGTCTCTGAATGTACTGCCACTGAAAGTTTCTCTCAGTCTTAGTCCTTATTTATTCTTGATTATAGGCCTCTGAGGCACATCTGTCCAAAGTCTTAAAAAGCCAGGGTGCTGTGGTGCATACCTGTCATCCCAGTATTTAGGAGGCTGAGGTGAAAGGATTGTGATTTAAGGTCAGTGTAGGCTACAAAGGGAGACCTAATCTTAAAAAAAAAAACAGAATAAACAAACAAACAAAGAGCTAATAAACTTCTCTGCCAATTCCACAGAGCTGTTTGCTTTGGAATAAAATGCTATAAATTGGGTATCTGTGAAAGACGTTAAGAATTTTGAAATTTTGGGCAAGATGTTAAAAATATTTAGAAAAATTATGCTTTGTCTTTCCCAGAATTTCCTCAAAGTATTCCGTGTTTTAATTACATTTCAAATGTGGGAAACATCTTTCATAGCTCAGATCTGAGCCACCTCTTGTTTGTGACTCACATGAATTACTGTTTTGGGATTTGAGTTAAGACAAAAAGGTTAAGGTGAAGAATAGTCTTGCTCTGTCTTAGTCACTGTCTTGTCACTGGGACAAAATACCCAACACCCACCACGTAAGGGAAGAGAAGTTTATTTCAATGCACATTCTCAGTCCATGGTCTCTCAGGCAATCTCTCAAGTGAGTGGATGGTGAACGCTGAAATAAAAGAGACAAATGGAATGATTTCAGGGCTCCAGGAGGATCAAAACCCTCGCAGAATTTGGGATTCTCCGGAGGTTAAGACCAAGATCTTCTCTGGGTGCCTGTATTTATTTAGTTCTCAGAACAAGGGAGGGGAGTACTCAAGAAGGGTGGGAACCACTGAAGGACTTCTCCAAGTAAGGCGTTATGTTAATTTAGGAGAGCTATGTTAATTCCAGGAAGGTGTCCACCCAGGAGATGCCTGAGGCTACAGTCTTTAGTTGAGGTTGGAGCCAAGTGTCCTTGGCTGTGATCCTGCTTTATCGTTTGAGACCTCCTAGCTCTACCCACCATTACAGGCCTCAGTAGGGACCAGTGACAGAGGTTCACTTACTATGAGTCCCCCGCCCATCTCCAATAAGGGACTAGGCTTTGGACAGACTCACAAGTAAACGTGGAAAGCCAATCGGTTAATTTAAGTCTTGCTCAGGGTTGCTTCGTAGTGGTCTCCATCAGTGGTTGGCTGGCTCCAAGGCAGAAACAGCATGGTGGAAGGGCCTGGGCAGAGGAGAGCTGCTCAGGGCAGCCAGGAAGCAGAGAGAAGGGAGGAGCTAGGGAGGGAGCTGCACCCTTCCAGGTCATGGCTACAGTGACGGCCTCTCCAGGCCCTGCCTCCTAACTCAACTCTTAACTCATACTGGGATGAGTCCACTGCTGAGGAGAGCACCCCAGGAGCCATTTACCTCCCCAAAGCCCCACCTTCGCGTGCATGAGAGTTTGGGGGGACATTCCAGATCTAAACTGTAACATGTCAATTGCTTTTGCATCAGTTTGATTCCTTACTGTGTGCTGTTTTCTTTTTTAAACAGGTGCAGATTTTATAACAGTTTTGGAGAGTGATGCTTCTAAGCCCTTTATGGGGAACAACGACTTAACCATGTGGCTAGGGGAGAAGCTGGGCTTCTATACAGACTTTGGCCCAAGCACGCGGGATCACACTTGGGGGTGAGTGTGCTTTGCGCATTAGTCCTGAACGTAGCTGAGAGAGTACGCATACGCGAGGGGTGGGCAGTGACACTCTCGTGTCTTTGACCTGTGAATACACGCTCGCTGTCCTTCTTGAGGAGCAGGGAGGCTCATTTTCCTTCATTTGTAACACGGTTTCCCTGTTGCTGGATATTTCTAGTTCTTCACCAGTACACACCATTCAGGCTGGGAGCTGAGGTCACAGCACAAGGCCTGTCTGACCTGGATATGGAGCTTGTGGCCCTCTATGTCTGCAGGTTCCACATCCACGAATTCAACCAACTGCAGATTGCAAACATGAAAATAATTCCAGAAAGTTCCCAAAAGCAAAGCTTGAATTTCACACAGGTCAAATACCATCCTAAATCCATGCAAATCAAGTGATGTGTGGGCGTTGGATTAGGGATTATTAGTAATATAGAGGTGACAAATATACGAGACAGTGTGGGGGTTATATGCAAATGCTATGTGATTTTATGTGAGGGACTGGAGTGGCCAGGATTTTGGTATTTGTAGTGTCCTGGAGCCAGCCCTTCATAGACACGGAGGGACAGGCATGCACATGTGCACACAAAACATTAGTGAGTGAGTCTGAGGCTGTGAAAGTGCTGTGAAGAAAATGAGAGGGGGAGGGCGAGAGGCTTGGTGCGCAGTGGCTACTGAGGACGGCGGTCCTCCAGGCAAGGTGGTCAGGAAGGCCTCTGTGGAGAGAAAAGGGACGATGCGAGGACCCAGGCCCAGGACCAGAAGAGCTGAGGAGCAGCCAGGTGAAGGCGGGAGGCAGGGTGGAACTTGGGGTGCCTGCCGTGGAGGAGACCCAGAGAGGGGGTGAGGAGTGAAGCCAGAGAAAGATGGTGAGGGGCCCCTGCCACCCAGCGGTGATGAGACGCCGCCTGAGGATTTGAAATGGACTGCGCTGATCTTAGTTACATGCTGAAAGACCACTTTGGGAAGAAAAGGCTTGGAGCTGGCAGGCAGCGAGGAGGCAGGCTCAGCAGCACAGAGGAGTGGCGGGGGGAGTGGCGAGGAGGGCAGAGTGTCACTCTTCTGGAATAGAACTGACGAGCTTCAGTCATGGCTTAAAGATCAGTGATAAATCAAGGGCGATAGCTAGGATTTCAGCCTTCATACCTGGTGGGACCTAGTGATTACCAGGACGGGAATGCCCAGGAGAGCCGTGCATACGCGCTGAGATACCCGAGGCAGTCACGTGATGTCCAGGGTATAGCCAAGAAGGCCGAGCAGAACAGGCCCGGCTGGAGACGGTGGTCAGGTATCAGCGTGGTAGCTAGGGACCTGTCTGCCCGGGAGGGGCCCAGGGACAGCACGCACGGCTCTGCGCTCAGAGCCCCGCTCCTCCTTTTTACCCGTAGCTCTTGGACTCTGGGTGAGGTAGCACACCTGTCTTACGTTTATGGAACGGTTTAATTTCTGATCTTGCATTGTGACTGTGTGCTTGCCAGCATGATGAACTCCTCTATGTGTTCATCAGTGCGTGTGAGAGTTGTTTCGGCAAACGGATTGTCAGAGTAACAAAGCAAGAAACACGGGTTTTGCATTTACCCGTGTTGCCCTCCGCACGTCTCCTTAGCACTTAGTGTAGCACACTTGGCCCTGTGCTCAGGGGTAGCAGCAAGACGTGCTGAAGAGCGAGATGCACTGCACCGACAGACTGCCCTGCAAGTCTCCGTCACGTTGGCGCTCTGAACGCCCTCACTGGGATGTTTGCGGTGTGACATGGATCTTCTTCCTGCATTTGCTTCCTCCCCGCTGCATGATGTGATGGGGCCAGTGCTGATGCATCTGTTTTTGTCCCTCTGGTACAGGATCATGGTACTGTCAAGATATCCAATCGTGAAATCGGAGCATCACCTCCTTCCGTCACCAGAGGGCGAGATCGCACCAGCCATAACCCTGACGGTTAACATCTCAGACAGACCGGTGGATTTTGTTGTGACACACTTTGGGAATCACGAGTGGGTTTCTTTGGATACTGAATATTATACATGTGTCAAGAAGTAGTATTCACATAATACTTTGGTTCCTATGAAGTAACCTTTTACTGTATTTTTTTTATGTCTGGAATTATTTTTCCTTAAGTTTCTGGTGGTAACAGACATAGACTCAATTTGAAATACAGCAGTCCTAACATAAGCATTAGCCCACAGAGGCCAAAATGTGCAGTGATTCTCTCTGCGGGTGCTTTACTAAGTGCATCCTTGTGTCTCATTCGCTCTGCAGAGGGTAAGTACCATTCTAGCCCCCTTTAAGAACGGATGATGACACTGGGCCGAGAGGCTGAGCGGTTAGTGCCTCGTCCAACCAGAGTCACACAGATAAGAAGTTAGACCAAATTCAGAGCCCACACGTGCTGGGAGCCTCATGGTAAACCAGACTGCAGAAAAATAAACTCCTTTTTCCTACAGGATTATCAGTGTAAGAAGCTGCACTTTGGGATTGGGGTACAGAATGACATTCCGTTTCCCCTCATGTTTGCACAAGTGTCGCATAGGCAGGCAGAAGAATCGGGCAGAGGGAGGGCACAGTGTCACTTTTAATACATAGACTGTCTGACAGCCCGGCCTACATGTGCATGTGGACCTGTTAATCCAGCCCCAGCAGTACCTGAAGAGGATGGGTCCAAATGCGAGTCCCACCCAGGAGCGGCACAGCCTGCCTTGGGAAGCTCTTCCGTTGATGGAAAGAATTGCACAGAAAATATTTTATGTGTAGAGATTCCAAGCAGAAGTCAGAGGAGGGGCCGAGATGAGCGTGTCTACTTAATTCTTCCAAACTGAATTAATTGGAAAAGTCCTTCCCAAAAATAAAGGATGTAGAGCGAGGCCAGTGGTGGTTTTTAAACTCTGTCCTTCTTCGAGGAAACACGAAGAGCGAAGAAGAACGGTGTCCCCGGTGACTAACAGTCACAAGCAGTGATGCAGGACTGGCTCGTTGGCCAGCACCGATCATGATACTAATACATCATAAAAGCAAAACTAGCTGAATTCCGTTTGTTGTGTGCCACACCAAAGCACACTCGTTTAAAACCCAGATGTGAGGCTCTGTGTGCTATAGCATAGGCATGCAGTCCCTGCACACATTGATGATGCAAGAGGCCTCTATCCGTCGTCTCTACCTCTGCCTTCTCTCACGTGCCTGGTAACAGTGGGGTCTCTTTGGCTCTGGCACCTCTCTGGATGATCGCTGTCCTTCTGGATAGCAGCCTCCATCTCTCACCAGGCCTTGCTGGCTTCTGTTCTCTGTACCATCACTTCCTCTTGCTGTAGATGTTGTGCTAGTTTCTCATTCCTGCTAAACTCTGGCTGCCTCCCTGACCCTTCTTTGGCTTCACATCATCTAGATAACCAATTCCCTGTATTAAATCCGCTTTGTTTGAAATACCTGGAGTATTTCTGTTTTCCTGGCTAGATCATGTAAAGTAGGATGTTCTGTTTTTTCTCCCAAACTGACAGTAAACCCCTCAAAAGCTGGATACAGCTGCCTAATTATCTGTTTTGTGTCTACAGTGATTAGCACGATAAAAGCAACATGTCCAGTGAGTGTTTATCCAAGATTGCTGAGAAAGCTTTCAGGAAGTGTCCGTGAAGGGAGCTGTGTGGGTTACATAAACCTGGTGTTCTCTGTGAATGTTAGGATTCTCCTTCTTACCTGTCTTTTGCCTTTTTCTTTACCTTTAATACTAGTTCTTCAACTGTAATGCTGATAAAAGGTCTCACATTGTATAATTCTTCTGATAAAAAGTCCAACGAATGTTGTATTTACAATATTTACATCAACTTGGTTCCAAATGGCTTGTAAAGAAAGATCATGTTGTTCTTAGTCAACAGTTTGTTAGCCTACCCAGTCAAAGCACTGTATCTATACATTCTTTATTTGCGTAATCTGAAGCCATTTGCCAAAATAGGTATTGCTCTGGCTTTCTACTGTTTGAAAATGTTCTTTGAGAATTTGGTTACATAAAGCTTTTTAAAAATTATTTTACATGAACAATAAAGAGGTATATCATTGCATTTCTTTCAGAGATGATCTTGACAGAAAACTGCAAGCTATTGCTGTTTCCAAACTTTTGAAAAATTCCTCTAATCAGGTGATATTTCTGGGGTACATCACTTCAGCGCCTGGTTCCAGAGATTATCGACAGCTCACTGAACACGGCAATGTAAAGGTGACACAGTTATCATCGGATTTCTGATGTATCAAGTAAAATGCTTCTTTATTGTTCATATGTTTAAGCAATCCAGTGTAACAATTCAAGAGGTATTCTGGTTATCGGCTGTTACACAGAAAATCGCCGGGGAACACACTGAATCTGTGATTGCACAAATCTGGAATGTAGACAGGAATTTGAAGGCAGCTCATCCCTGTTTCATGCAAGTCAGTAAGATGCAAATCTGGGCACTACGGGATCTCCTTTGTAGACAGTTCGTGGATGGGAGGTTGGTGCTTTAGGCTTGGCGCCCAGGTTCCTGTGTGCATGCATCTTGGTTTTCCTCTCTTCAAGGTGTCTAGGTTCTGAGAGTGAGTCTAGAAGAAAACCGGGGAGGACCTGAATTGCTTTGGATGACTTAGCCTTTTTAGACTTACAGTATCACTTCTACTCGTGTCACAAGTGTAATCACACTCAACTGAAAGAAAACAAGCCTCACCTCGTGATGGGAGAAATATCAAAGTCACATTACAAGAATATCATACAGAAAGGAAACTATTAGTGTAACTAGGGTTTAGAATACACAGTCTGCCACACTGTGAAAGTTAATTATGACGCTGAGAGTGCAAGACAAAATGAAATACCAGGTGGAGAGTGGTACCAGCTAGAAAGGGCCTCGCCAAGTGACCCCAAGTTGGTCTTTACCTTTTCAGGTTTCATACACTTGAATTTATCAGCGTACCCAGATATAATGAAGCTCTGGAAGTGGTGCACAGTCAGATCCCCCAGAGACACTAAAATGCCAAATGCATTCACTTACAACGAGAAATATAATTGTAGTTAGCTAAGCCTTATGTGTTTTTCTTGATCCTTTTTATTTTGGTTTTTTTTTGTTGTTGTTGGTTTTTTTTTTGGTCTTTTTGAGACAGGGTCTCGCTATGGAGTTCAGACTGGCCTTGAGCTCACTTTGTAGCCCAGGCTGGTCTCGAACTTGCAACGATCCTCCTGCCTCAGCCTCCTGAGTGCTGGGATTATAGGCGTGCGCCACCACACCCGGCTTTATTTTGTTTTTAACTTTGCGTCTCTATCTGCAGAGGAAAAGGGTTGTGCATTTATGTTGATTCTGCTACTTTAACTCTTGTTAGAGTGGAACATTGGGAAGACAGGTGGCAGAGAGCATGACATGATGAAGGCTTTCAGTATGTGACAGAACACAAACAACAGCGCTTCAAATATGAGAGAAACGTGTTTCATCGTGTAAATATCTGGGCAGGTGAATCAGCATCCGTAACGGCACTCCATGGTGCCTTGAATCTGTGTTCCTTGGCTGTGGCTCCACTCCTGTGGTCCAGTCATGTAGAACACATCTGTGTGCTAGTTAGCAGGTTAGAGGAAGGGGCCACCAGCACGTGCAAGTTCTCGCTAACGGCAGGATGCAGGAAACTGACTCCCAACACATCTCCTCACATTTCTTTGGTGGAAGTGCAATCATACAGCCGAGCTTTGGGGCACAGATGCTTAGGAGGTACAATACTCCATCTTGATGGCCATGTACCCAGCTAAAGATGCAGTAATTTTGGAATAGTAGATGCTGGGGACGTGAGTTAGTCTCCACATTTGTGGACAAGGCAGGGAGTAAAGTCACAGTAGACTCCTGATTCCTGGCTCTGGTCAGAATGTTTATGATGGTGACATTTACAATAATAATATTATTATCATTATTATTGAGAATACATAAGGAAGAACAGTTTTTGCAAAGAAATGATAGTTCGGCTTGGGGCTGAGTTAGAGGTATATGTGGGACTTTAGAGGTGTCCAACAGGCGGATAGATACGTGGATCTGAAGTTCAGGACAGCCGTCTGAACTGGAGAGCAGGTTAAGAATTGCCGCAGTATAGGTGACCACCGGAACAATGCGAGTGGGCGGTGTTGCTTGCAGAGTTGGAGAAGCGCAAATGAAAGGCCAGCGGAGCCCTTGAGAAAGCCTCCGGACAGTGGCTGTTTTGAGGCTGGTGGGTGATGGAAAAGAAGGCAGCCTCTCCCAGGAGGGAGACGGAGGAGAGCTGCGAGGGGGCAGAGGGAACCCTGCAGAGCGCAGAGTCCGGGCTGTATCCGTTTCCTCTTGCTGTGTGAAAATCCACGTCAGACATAATGGCTTGAAACATTTCACCTCCCCGCCGTTCTGTGCCCGAGCGGTCTCCTCCTTGCCTGCCTGGACTTGAGCAGTAAGCGCGCGGCTCTGCCGGGCCGGACAGTCAAGGTGGCCCAGGCACACGCTGGGGCCTCAGTGCTGGGCCTCTTGCCCCTGACGGGGCCTCCTCATTGTTCCCCACTGGAGCCTCACTGACCAGTGAGCTGACCTCCACTCCCGTCTGTGAGTTGTGATAGGAATATCCATTGTATCACAGGGTTGTTAACAGAATTAAACATAAACCAATGTCTGAAAAGCCCGCTGAGCCTTACGTATGTGTGGTTTATGCATCGGGCTCTGTGTAAAAAATCAAATGAGATAGAAGTACGAGTACCTGCTCTGTAGAATAATAGAGGACGTTGGACAAGATGACACATGGCAAATCTAAGGGAAAACTGCTTCCTTCTCAGGAAGGGAGGATACTCTCGTGTGTGTGTGTGTGTGTGTGTGTGTGTGTGTGTGTGTGAGAGAGAGAGAGAGAGAGAGAGAGAGAGAGAGAGAGAGAGAGAGAGAGAAGGATATACATGGTATTAGGGAAGAAGAATTTTATTTGATTTTTATTTAATCCCCTCTTGGTTTCCACTAGCCACGTCAAAAGCTGTGTTAAGATTAGCAGTGGGGTCTGACACTGCTTTTCCCACTAAGGAGTTTATTAGTGTGGAGAGGAATTTCAATCATAAATGCTTGAATGAACAGATTTTTCTTTTTAACAAATGAGTATTTAAATTCTGCAGTCTTAAAATTTGACAGGATTTTTTAAACATCTAATAAAATAACAGTTAAACAGATACTTAGTTTATTATTCTCAGTATAGATAGCTAAATGATTAATTTTTTAAATTTCTTCCTAAGGCAAACTAGAACAGTGCTTTTATTTGCTTTTTTATTTGTAAATTTTTAAAATTAATTTTTAAGAAATATATATTTCTGCCTGGGTATGATGGTGCAGGCCTGTAATCCCAGCACTCAGAGGGGGAGGCAGGAGGATCACTGTGGGTTTGAGGCCAGCCTGGGCTACACAGTGAGTTCAAGGCCAGCCTGAGCTACATAGTGAGACCCTGTCTCAACAAAAATATATTTTCATGTATACAAAATAGTACCCATGTGACATAAATAAAGATAAAGATTAATTAACAAAATAAAGAAAAAATAAGAAATAGTAAATTGTGGTATATTCTTTTAATGACTTAAAATATTTTAATTAAATTTTAATAGTAAAATTTAGAGGCAGTGAGAGTCAGGTGTATCTTTATTTATAGACATTTCAAAAGAAGAAAATGAATATTTCAAAAGAAGAAAATAAATATTTCTTCTTCTTTCAGTATAAAAGTTCCATATTTATAGTCTTCTGAACACATTATAGAAAAACATGTTTCTGCTTCTCTGTGATGAGAACTGATCCTGCCTTCAAGCTTTTGCTATAAAAAAGACCCATGATTTCTCTCGCAATGTGTTTATTTCCACAGTTCAATTTAACAAACACAGACTGAGCGCCTACCTGCTGAGCACCAGGCTTCCGGCTAAGTGCTAGGCAGCCAGAAATGAGTCCCAGCCCCTGTGCTCAGGAAGGGGAGGGTGCAGACACAGGGACAGATGACATGACACTGTGGTCAAGCTGGGGTGCATAAAGCACACCTCCCCATGACCTGAAGATGTGCTGCTCTCTCTTTACGATGAGAGACTTGGAAAGCCGGAGGGTGCCAGGCGCCACCTTGGAATCACTGACATATGTTCCTGTCTAACGCCCTCTCCAGGCCACCTTTATCTTTGTATTTCCAGCCTCTAGTGCAGAGATGGAGGAGAACATAGCAGGTGTTCAAGAAACATTTGTAGAATGACCAAGTCAATTAGACTCCAAGGATCAGTAGGGACCAGAAAGAGAAAATGACATGCAACAAGGCATACTTACCACTGCAGCTCACAATTTGGTTTCTATGCTGTGAACATTTTCCTTCTGCCCCTTACCAGGATATCGACAGCACAGATCGTGACAGATGGTGTGAATACATCATGTATCGGGGGCTGGTCAGGTGAGCACAAGTGTTTGGTTTTTGTTCTTTTTAAATGTATTATTATTACTTTCATCTGTAGCTCTCTCCTAGAAGGAAAGCCTTTGCGGAAGTCATTAATTTCCATTACTTTTATAAACATTGTTTGGTTACTCTATTTAATGTGTTTTCAAAGCATGGCCTGATGATTTAAGAAGGATAAAGAGCTCAGCAAATTAAGCTTAATTATGTAAGAGGATGCTGGATAAATTATTAAGCAGAATAAGCACATAACTGCTGAGATATGGCAGGAATGGTCCCCCTTTTGACTCCGTGGCGTGGTGGGGACAGCGTGGGCCATGGGGTGGGAAAACCGCGGGCTTCAGTCCAGCTTTGCCAGCTTCCGGTCCGTCATCTCAGCTGCCTAACCGATCACCACCTCTGTAGCACGGTGAAGTCCCTGGTAAATTATAGTTTTAAAAGTGTCACCCCATATTGCGAATGGTATCTTAGGGTATATATGTTATAAATATTTAATATTTACATATTAAAGTCTTCATAAAGTTATTAAGATTATTAAATTATTAAACATTAACACAGTAATGTGTAGATGCATGATGCAAAGTAATTCAGATGAAAGATCTCAAAATTCAAATATATAACAGTACAAATAATTTCTGAAGGTAATATTTCTTTAAATAAAACAAAGAGTGGGTTAAAACTAAATAAGGAGGAAGTAATCATTCACCTTTCTGCATAAGCATTCATTATGTACCAGTATTGTTCTGAGCAATGGGAGCATAATAGGAACAACACAAGGTCCTTGTCCTTCGTAGAACTTGCATTCCAGCGAAAGGAGGCAGAAAATGAATAAATGAGGGAAAGAATGACAGACTATGCCAGGTGGAGCTGAGTGTGAAGGAAGCAAGCCAGACAGGAAGGAGTGGCGGAGCGTACGAGGGCCGCTCGGGCAGGGCCTGAATGGAGCCAGGAGGTCAGCCTGTGCATACCCTGGGACGGGCATTAGGGCAGAGGGGACAGGCAGCGCAGGGCACGAGGGGAGTGTGACTCATACTTCTTGGTACCAGCCTGGAACCCAGCATGGCGGGAGTAGAGTGAGGGAGGTGCCTTTGCCCGGTCAGTGGGAGCAGACCACACAGACAGGCTCGAGGGGCAGGTCCCTCCACTTACAGGGTTCTTCAGTGCAGAGCACAGGCTGGAGGCCTTCCCTGAAACGCACGGGCTTCTCTGGGTAACACTGAAGCTGTTCGGAGACATTTGACCATAGCTCTCTCCCTGCCTTCCTAGGAGCAGTGTAGGGGGCTCTTAGATGGGCTTCTGCGTGGACCCCTCTTGGCTTGCTCTCCCCCACACAGAGCAGTTCATCACCCGGAAGCATCCTGGCCTGAAGATAAAGGCTGACATTAAACTGTGTGTCCCTCGAGTAACGTAATGCCTTGTGCTCTGTGATCTGCATTTCTCAAAGATAATGCTTGCCTTTTAGGGATGACATGAAAGTGCAGAGCCAGCCTCGCTGCCCGAGGGGCTGTGACTTGTTCAGTCATGAGTGACCGTTAGTGACAACAAACTGTTAGGTTCTCCTGTTCTGATCCACATGTGGGTTAGCCAGTGTCACTTGAGCATAATGGTTGCCAGGACCCAGGGAAATAGCAAGAAACAAAACAAAAACATCCCTGCTTGAAGGAAAGATGACAGCAAACATAATCAATAATTCACGGTGTAGTATTCCGGAAGTGATGAGAGCAGGAGAAACTGAGCGTATGGGAGTGGGTTTCAGTGACAGGCAGGGAAGCGGGTAAGTCTTACTGACAGGATGACACTGGAGCCAGGATTTGAGCGAGGGAGCCGCGTGGCTCTCTGGGAGCCGGCCCTAGCTGGTAGAGGTACCAGCCAGTTTAGAAGTCCGAAGGGAGGCGTGCTGGCTGTGTTGGAGGAGCAGTGAAGCTAGCAGAGCAGCAATGTGTATGTGTGGCGGGTAGGAGAGGGCAAGGGAAGGGAGGAGTGGGCCAGGAGGGAAAGGAGCAGATCTTGCAAGGTTCCGTGGACCCTTATTAAGGACTTTGGATACTGTGCTTGTAAGACAATGAGCTTTATTGGTCCTCAGACAGCCCCGTGGCTTTGTGTGCTCACTGAGGTGGGCCCGGGAGGGCTCTGAGATGCTGTAACGTTGCTCTGGTTACCCTAGTGATCAAGAAACCCAAAAAGGCCCAACCCTGCCTTACGTCTGCAGGACAAACAGTTTCACTGCTATTGGGGCATTTGCAAAAAAAATTAGGTAGGAGAGAACATGCTGAAAATTAGTTTTGTAAAGTATTTTAAATCTCGGATTGACAATACTGTTTCTGTTCAAATATGGATAGACATGGTTATTTTGATGGAGGATATCAGAATATATTTTTTATCTAAACCAAAATAAGTACAATTCCAAGTTGCAAAAACTATTGGTCGCCAAGAAACAGAGGTACTTACAGTAACCAGTGCCCATAACAGCTTGTTGCTGAGTCTGAGACCTTTATTCCCTCTTTAGGAGAGTGGATGGTCCAGAGGCTGGAAGTCCAAGAGCGAGGTGCCAGCTGGGCTGGTGTCTGGGGAGGGTTCTTCCTGCGTGCTGCACATGGCTGTCTCCTTGCTGAGTGCCTCAGTCACCTAGTGCATGTCCCATACTTAGTAGGTCCTTAATAAATACATATTAGACAGCAATGGAAAATTCCCTATTTCAGGGGAAGATTTGTATTGTCAAATCCCTTTCCTTCAAAGACTTTGGAAATACACTTGAAGGGGATGTCTATAACATGAGTTTAAATTTTGATCTTAGAGATGTAGGGAATAAATAACTAGACTTATCAGAGATAGTGATTTAGGATTATAAGGAACCACATCTTCTAAAGTTAGGCAGATGTATGAACCCGTCTGACAGCTCCAGCCCCTCTGACGGTCAGTTGTGCTCCTTCTTTTGCCTCTCACGGGGTGGACTTGCTGCCTCTGCCCACTCTGTTTTCTGTTTCTATTTTGTGTGCAGTTACAGGTTGACTTAAGTACTCCTCCTACCGCTCTGGCCAAAGCTCCCCTCATCTTCCACCTGAATTATGCAGTGGCCTTTTAACGAGTCTCTCTGCCTTGGTCTTCGAAAGCTGTTCACAGTAGCCATGGCGAATCTTTGCTCCAGACCCTTCTGATAGATTCCCATCTCATTCTCAAACAAAAATCCAGTCTGAAATGGACTGCAAGGAAAGATTTTCATCATGTGTTCCCACCCCAACCCCGAGCTTACGTTTTTCTAAGTTCTCCCTCGTGCCCTGTACTCCAGTCATGGTAGAATTGGTTTCCAAAAACATTAAGCGCAGTCCCACATCGGGATCTTTGCATTTGCTATTCCTTCCCTGTAACATTCTTTTTCCAGTAGCCGTATGACTTATGCCCTTTACTTCAATCAAAATTTTGTTCCAGGATTACATTACCAAAAGTTATGTCCTGACTACCCTCTATACATACCGTAGTAATCCCTGCCTCCCACCCTTCCTTCTTACTTTTTCTTCTATAGTACTTGCATCAGTTACCGTCTGATAGATTTTGTATGTAGGGACTTACTGAATTTATCCTCCCAACTAGAAGGAAAGCTCCATGAAAGCAGGGACTGTCTTATTCACTACTTACTCCAGTACCTAGCAAGGTGCTACAGGTAAAAGGGACTTGGTGTATATTTACTTCATGAATAAGTGAGTGACTGAAATAATGCAATTTCTTTTCTGGAAGAGGCAAAATATGAATAAATTTAAATGAATTTTTTGTTCATGTGGTTTTCCCCATTTTCCGCCTGAGCTCCTCAGTAAGATTCATTTGGATAATGTCTATAAAGTGCTCTGAGTTTCCTGAAGAACTGAAAATCCTAAACCAAAACAGGATGTGGAATTTTTTCGGAGATATGAACTCTTTGATTTTAGATTTGTAAGTGTGGCTGAAAATATGCATGTGGTATTTAGATTTTAAAATATGAGAAATAATTTTGGCATATACTCCTGTCATTCCGAAGAATCCTGCTGTTAGCTCAAGACATAATTACATGGGAACCAGTTTATACAGACATAGAATATCCATTAGTGTAAAAAAATAAAGTAAGGTTACTAAGTATATTTAGTTAATTAAATCTATGTGCATAGTCACTTTTCATTTACTGTGTCATAAAAGCAATATTTTTATAATATTTGAAATAATCAGTCAAGTTAATTTTAGTTGAGATATATAACATCAAGTTAGAAAGGGAAACTGGCTCAAGAGCATAACACAGGGTTCCACAAACACACCCCTTACTTTTCTACTGTAGATTTTTACTTTGGCATAATAGTAGCCAGTGGTGTGTCTCAGTACCTTTCCCTGAGGGATACAGGAAGCAGTTTTTGTGTTTACCACTTGATACAATGAAAGCCAATGTGTGTGCATCTGTGCAAAAGTGTCAAGCCAGAATTTTTACAGACTTTTTGGTCCATCTAACGGGTTTGGCACGTGTTTACCTGAGCATCACAGAGGGTATCCACCCACACCACTCTAGGATTTGTTTTTAGAAAAGTTTTCTTTTGATTTTTCTGGTAGAAGTAGCCCAATTCAGTACAATGGCACTTCAAAAACTAGATTTACAAGTTTTGGAGGAGGTCAAAAGTGAATCATCAGCTTACTCCTGCCTAGATGGTGAATATAATACATTACAGTAAAATACATGTTTCATAATAGAAGAATGGTGTGGGTGGATGATGACGATGATGATGATGATGATGACTTTAACGTTGACCATGTGAGCCAAAGTTTCTGTGACAGTGAAATGAAACAAGGATCAGCTGATACACAGGGAATACAGGCCTCCTTGATTCAGATGACGAAGAAAACAGCAATGTGGGTATATATGTGACTAGTTGAAATGTTGCAAAATGGTGATGCAATCAAATGGAATGGTCCAGTGTTAGAACTCGGTCTGAAAATATAGTGAGGGTCTTGGCAGGGGTGAAATGTATTGAGCAGATGCCAGCACTGCCATTCAGTGTTGGAAATTATAACAGACAAAATGCTACAAGATAGTGTGAAATACACAAAGGCTGAAATATAAGTAAAACATTCTGTAGGCACCAATAGCCATATACAAAAATATATTTTTATTATAACACCTCAGTAGCTGAACTAAAAGCATTCATAGCTCTGCTGTATTTAGCAGGGTTTTCTCATGGTGATCACAGGAATGTAAAAGATTTATGGAAAAGTGATGGGTCAAAATATGGCATAAAAATTCATGCCCTTGTAGATGTGAAGACTTACCATGCTTTCAGTTTAGAAATTTAGCCTGCAATTCATCCATCAGGTCCTTATTTATATAGTAATGAACTAAATGATGTGAACAGACTTGTTGCTCCTGTCTTCCAAACTAATCGGAATGTGACATTTGACGATTGGTTTACAAGTTTCCAAGTGATGTTACATTTCTAACAGAGAGCAAGTTGACTAGCATAGGAACTGTACACAGGAACAAAGCAGAAATTCCAAATGAAATGTTGCAGTTTCAAAACAGAGAATTGTATTGTACAATCCTTGCATTTCAGAAAGATTTACTTTGGCCTCATATATGACAAAGAAAACAAACTGCTACTACTGATGTCCACATTGCACCATGATGGAAATTTTGACAGAGAAACCTTGATAAAATAGAAGGCTGAGATGGAAACTTTCTAAAACAAAACCAAAGGTGGAGTAGGTGTTGATGAGTTATGCAGCAAGTATGATGTCACTCAAAACACAAAGCTTTGGCCAATGGTTGTGTTTTACTCAGTCCTAAGCATGTGTGGCATAAATAGTTTGATAGTTTACAAAGAAAATGACAAGTGCAAAATACCATGGAAAAATTTTCTTAGAGGATTGAGACTGGAACTCATAAGAAATCATTTACAGTAGAGGGAAAACAAAATGTTTCTGCCCAGGGAACTGTGCAAAAAAATAGTGGATCACACTGGTAAGCTGACAGGTGAATGGGCGGGCAAAGCATCCCAAAGACCTACCTGACAACAGGAAAGCAAAAAAGATGTCAACTGTGCCCTACAGGAAAGGACAAGAAAGGGCTGGGGATTTAGCTCAGCGGCACAGCGCCTGCCTGGCAAGCGCAAGATCGTGAGTTCAGTTCCTGGTACCAGAAAAAGAAAAAAAATGTCAGGATGAGGAAGGGACAAGAAAACAAAACATAACTGCCACCAGTGTAAGCGATATTTGCCTATGGAACATGCAACTTTCATGTGTGAACATTGTCTTAGGTGTGACAATTGAAGCAAAGATTATTTTTGTTGTAGAGTTCTATTGATATTTTCACTGTAGTTCACATAGATTTGTATTTCTGATATCTCTTAGGTTTTGTAAGAAAGTACACAGCTGATGTGAAAATGCTGATGTTTATTCTAAATGTGCGATACATCTTAAGAATTTAATACTTTATTTTATTGATATTTTATGTTCCTGTTAACTACACATTGCATAATATAGTAATAACCCCTCGACAAAATAGCAAGACAGGTGAGATGTTAAGTACATCCTACCAAAAGGCCAGAAAGCAAAACACACACTGTCAGCAATATATGTGTATGGAACAAGCAGCTGTCACATGTAAAGACTGCGTTAGGTGTGATAATTGAAGTAGATTTTTTTTGTAGAGTGCTATGGTATTTTCATGTAGGAATTTATTTCTGTTGTTCTTTTTTTAGACTTCGTACACCAAAAACCAATTGATGTTGAAAATTTTTATGCTTTTTTTATAAACACTCAATAAATATTAAAAATATAATACTTTATTTTTGTTATTTTTCCTGTTAAGCACTCATTGTTTAATATAATAAAACTCCTAAAATTAAAATTAATAATTCATCAAAAGAAATTTTCTAAGGAATAAACACAGGTTTGACACACCCATGTTTATGGGCCTTTATGACAAAAAATGTGTTATGTTCTAAATAATGAAGATTTTACCTGATTTTATCAGATTTTTGAAGGTGGGGTGTGCTGGCACCAAACTAAGGTCATGCATGCCTAAGCATATGTTCTACTCATCAGATTTCTATGTGATAGTAAAACTTTAACACATAATACCCATTTTATTATAGGTTGGGTTATGCAAGAATTTCCCATGCTGAACTAAGTGATTCTGAAATTCAGATGGCCAAATTTAGGATCCCTGATGACCCCATTAATTACAGAGACAATCAGAAAGTGGTCATAGACCATAGAGAAGTTCCCAGGAAAATTCATTTCAATCCCAGGTAAGTGCCTTTATGTTGTAGGCTACAGTTATGAGCTACCGTACCCCCTCTATGGAACCTAAATATTGCCTCAGAATGAGCTAGAAATTGTATTTGGTTCTAGAGGCTTGTTCTGAATAAGGGAACACGTGATAAAAACTATAAAATCCTACTGGGATTGAAGTTACGGTCTCCATGCTGTCCTCCCAACTCCGGGTAAAAAGATCCCATCGTCATCATCATCATCATCATCATCATCATTGTGATTGTATGCACCATTAATGCTACCATGATAGTGAATATTTGAACACTTCTATGTCCCAGACCTGTTCTAGATTCTTCGAGTGTTACTTCCATTTCCCTTCACTGGGCTATAATCATGTTATCCCTATATTGTTTTATTTGTCTTGTTTTGTTTTTTGTTTTGTTTTGTGGTACTAGAGATTGAAACCAGGTCTTCTCATTGAACTTCCTCCTGGTCCTTTTTTATTTTTTATTTTGAGATAGGGTCTTGCTAAATTGGTAGATTGCCAAATTGCCCAGTTGGTCCTTGAATTTGCAGTCCTCCTGCCTCAGCCTCCCAGAGTGCTGGGATCACAGGTGTGTGGCACTATACCTGGCTATCCCCATCTAATAAACCAGGAAGCTAAGGCTGAGAAAAAGGAAATAACTTCACTGGGATTATGTGGTTAGTCAGTGATGAGCTATAAAGAAGCTCTTGTCTTCTTGGGGATTGGGGATTTAGCTCAGTGGCACAGCGCCTGCCTGGCAAGTGCAAGGTCGTGAGCTCGATTCCCAGTACCAGGAGAAAAAAAAAAAAGAAGCTCTTGTCTGTTAGTATCACGGGGTTGTTGTATTCTCAGTGCCTGCTACGCACTACCTGGAAAATGAAAAGAAATACTATTGCCTGGGCCACTCCAGATCACTTCTTCAGGACCTTCTGAGATCATATCTGGACTTTGGAATTTAAAACATTCTTTCCAAGGTGCAGTTAGAAATGAGACTATGGATTATGAATAATTTATTTACATCACAGATGTTCTACCATATAAAACATGTTATTTTTTGTTTTTCCTTTTCTAAAAATTGTGCTGAGGATGTAGCGCTGAGCTACATCCCCACCCCTTTTTAATTTTTGAGACAGGGTCTCACTAAACTGATCAGGTGGGCCTCAAACCTATGATCCTTGTGCCTCAGCCTACCAAGTAGCTAGGGCTATAGAATGAACTACTGTGCCCTGCTTGCTTGGTTTTTAATAGAGACAATTTGAAAAATCTGTTTGCAGCAAAATAAATGATTTTGTGTATGTGCTCTTTCCTCACATGGCTAGGTAATGAGAGGAAAGTTCCACGTTAAACCAAACATAGGACATGTCCTAGACATTATTATCATTTGACACTTGTTATGGTTTGTGTCTAGATGTGCCCCCAAAGCCTCATTTGGTCATAGGATTTTTTCAGGGGTGGCTGAATCTGGAGTGTGTGATTGATTCATGGTACAGTGCTTGGGTTAAGGGTGCTGGGGTGAAGGGTAGGTGAGTGCTGGATCAGCCCACTGATTGGATTGGCACTGCTGTAATCCCGGTAGACTGGATACAGTATAAGGGACAGAAGGAGGTTTGTCTCTCTCTCCCTCTCGCCTGTTGCTTTTGCTGTCTTCCTCCACCATGAACTGTTGCTCCTCTGCCATTGCCACCCAGCCCCGGAGCCAGCTGATTATGGACTAACACCTCTACAAACTGTGAGCTAAATAAACCTGTCTTCCCTTAACTTGTGGGTGTTGAGTACTATGTCTCAGCAACCAGAAGAGTAACTAAGACAACACTTAGACTATTTTTACCAGCTCATCTCTGTAGAAGTTTCTCAGACCTCATTTTACTGGGGAGAAAAGACTCTTCTGCATTCTCTTTGTCTTTCTTGTCTCTGCTTACAATAAGGAAACGCTATACAGTTTTTGAGTGGGAGGAGAGTGGTCTGCTTCTGTTTCTGCGCTTATGTCATTCTGTGTGAATGGAATGCAGTAGTGGAGAGGCTGGGCTGTGTGGTCCAGCTGCCCATTCGGCCGCGCTCTGCTCAGCAAACAGCAGGGGAGCTGTGGTCCGGATGCTGAACCTCTGGAAACCTCCACTTCTTCCTCTGAAAGGCAGCGGGGTGGGAGGGGGTAATAGTGCCGACCTGCTAACATAGCTTGAGGTTTGACTGACACAATGAGACACTGGTTCTTAGAATAGTGTGCAGTGGGGGCTGGGGATTTAGGTCAGCGGCACAGCGCCTGCCGGGCAAGCGCAAGGTCGTGAGTTCGATTCCTGGTACCGGAAGAAAAAAACAAAACAAAACAAAAACATCAATTAGGATAGTGTGCAGTGAGTCCTCAGTCTCACCCAGTAGCTCCAACAGCAGCAATAGTATTTGTAGTGGTAACATAGCAGTGAAATAGCATGTTTCCCTCCTTTTGCTAATTGAGATGAGTTCTTAAATGGAAGCTAAAATTGAGAACAAGATTGCTTTGATTTCTTATTTTTCGTATGCCAAGAGTGTGGAGACATCTAAATACAATGTTTTTGGCTAACCGCAACTGCAGATTGAGCCAAAGAAAATGTGAACACATTATGAAAATGCTCTCCCACGCAGTTTAATTATGAAAATGATGAAGGCATAAGTAGAAGGCCTGTCTTAATTTAAAAAGTGTGGAGAGAACATTTAAGATCTCTTAGCAGTTGAAACTGTGTATGTGAACATCACAATAAGTTATTATTAACTGTAGCTTCAGTGCTTTTAACAGACCTCCAGTATTTAATCATCTGGTGTTATTGATATTTCATCTCTTTTGACCTCCCAGTTAGCTCCTGGCAACCTTTCTACTCTTTGCTTCTATAAATTCAACTCTCCTGGAGCCCACTATAAGTGAGATCATACAGTATTTGTCATCTGAGCCTGGATAATGTCTTCCAGGCTCACCTACGTTGTCCTAAATGACAGCATTTCATTTTTAAAGGTTAAATAGTATTCCATTATACGTGTGTGAGCGTGCGCAGGTGTGTGTGTGTCTGTGTGATATTGGGATGGAACTGAGGGCCTTCACACTAAGCTACACCTCCAGTACTTTTCTACTTTTTAGAATTAGTCTAAAATAGGGTCTTGTTGAGTTAGTAAGTTTTCCAGGCTGGGCTGAAACTTTCCATCCTCCTGCCTCAGCCTCCCAGAGTGCTGGGGTTGCAGGTATGCACCACCATACCCAATTCATAGCAGTCTTCTATGATCTTTTGTGTTTTGTGGTATCAACTGAAATGTCTGCTCTTTCACATATAATTTTATTTTTTTGAAATTTCTCTTTTTTCTCAGTAAGTCTAGCTAAAGATCCACCCCAATACAGTATTTGATTTTATCTTTTCCAAAAGCCAACTCATAGTTTAATCAATCTTCTCTGTTATTTTTCTACATTCTCATTATTTGTGCTCTAATCTTTCTCTCTTTCTCTTTCTTTCTTTCTTTCTTTCTTTTCTTTTCTTTTTCTCTCTCTCTCTTTCTCTTTCTTTCTAATTTGAGCTTAGCTTGTTATTCTGTTTTTAGGATCTTGAGGTATAAAGCTACGTTGTTTGAGCTCTTTCTGTTTTTCTTAATGTAGGCATCTATTGATGTAATTATCCTTCTTAGGACTGCTTTTGCGCTATCCCACAAGTTTTGATACATTGTATTTCATTTGTATCAAGATAATTTAAAATTTTCCTTTTAATTTTTCTTTGACTCTTTGGCCATTCAACAGTGTGTTAAGTTTCACATATTTATGGAATTTCTAATTTTTTGCTGTTACTGACTTCTAGTTTCATACTACTGTGCTTGTAAAAGATATTGGATATGATTTAAGACTTCTTGAATGTGTTAAGGCCTAACACAGGATCTGTCCTGGAGAAGGCTCCGGGTATGTTTGAAGAGAATGTGCGTTCTGCTGCAGTTAGGTGACCTATTCTCTATGTATCTGTCCAATCCATTCAGTCTATTGCATTGTTCAAGTCCTCTTTTTTCCTTACTGATTTTTCCATCTGGATCCATTGTTGAAAGTAGGATACTAGGGTCACCTACTACCAATGTATTCCTTTCTATTTCTCCTCTCTATTTTGTTGATATTTGTTTTTTATATGCTCTGATGTTGGGTACACATACATTTATAGCTATTCTGTTCTATTGATGAATCAACTCTTTTGTGACAGTGTTTGATTTAAAGTCTGTTTTGCCTGATAAATTTAGCTACCTCTGCTAGCTTTTGGTCACCATTTATGTGGACTATCTATTGCATCCTTTCACTTTCAGCCTATGGCA